GTGTGGGTTGGCTCATCAGTGATGGCCACGTCCCGCAGTATCTTTTCCCTCGGCATCGAGTAGACCGGCCAATCTCGGACTCGTACACGCGCGTGCATTCGATTTACGCACACATCGCGACCGGACCGTGGAGTCGCACGTACGGAAATCGACGTAAGCTCGGAACGATCTTCGATCGTGCTGGTGTAACCCGTACACTCCTATTCGGATATGCGCGCCGCTCGCGCACACGTGCGCGCGTGCACGCGTGTGCGATCGGGCCCCGCCGGGCCGCACACTCGGCCCAGGGCACACTGGGTGCATCGCATACGGTGCATCGCACACGGGGAAACGGGTACGGTGCATGGTCGGCCGCGTGTGCAGTGTGCGGCGTGCAGCGTGCAGCGTGCAGCGTGCAGCGTGGTGGAGCAGCCAGTGTGCGTATACCGTCTTGTATGCGTGGCTTTCGCGATACTTAGAGAAACCGCTCCCTCTTATCACCCCTCCCGCGCGCTCCGGCAAAACCTTGTTCGATACCATTTGAGGACCTCCAATAACCTATCCGAGCCATTCCGATAGGAGCTGTCAGCCCGCACCCACACGCTGACCGCGCTCTGCGAGGAGCCGCGCACCGCAGACCGGATAAGCCCGAGCGCAGGTGTGCCGCACAAAATCGTCTGATCGACGTGCCGAGTGCGCTGATCTCGATGACCTTCGCCAAGGGTTTCGATTCGACGACGCCGCGGTACACGAGGCACGCCCCGGATACCATCTCGACGAGTTGCTCCGGTACCAACGTACCACGCTACCCTCCTGTCCCTCCTATCCGCCCCATCCCTCCAATCCCTCCAATTCCTCCAATCCCTTCTATCCTTTCTATCCCTCTGTCCCCCTGTGCCTCTAGCCCCCTGTCCCCCGGGCCCTCTGTTCCCTCGCTGCCTCACTGTCCTCTTGTCCTCCTGTCCCGTGTACCCATTCGTTGCGCTCACTCGCATTCCCACTTTGCTATTAGCATCTCGAGAGCCTCCTCCTCATCCTCCTCCTCCTCCTCCTCTTCTTCTCCTTCCTCTTCTTCTTCTTCTTCCTCTTCTTCTTCTTTTCGATCTTGTTGCACGGCGAAACTTTTCCGCGGGCGACCACCGCGTGCCCCTAATCCGATTTTACAAGCTCTCCTCTCCTTGGTCGCCGATCTCCGTTCGAGTTCCGCGCAGGCCGACGCGTTATAATTCGGCGGAACTTTCTCGATCGTGCACAGTGCACACGGGTTCCCAGGGGTGTGCTGGTCGCCATCGATCCTGGGGCGCGAAACTATTCGTCGCGTCGCATCGGCCCTCCCGCGATATACCTCCGCTGATTTTCGACACTCCCTTGATTTGTCTGTGTCTTGGGAGTTGCGTGAATCCCTTCCGTTGAGCCGGGTGATGAATCGGGCATCGTTCGTCGTCCACGACGCTGACTGTATCCACCACCCTCGCTCGACATTAGCCACGAGGGTGCTCCATCAACCGCGCCAAGCCGCGCGCCACCGCCGCCGCTGCCGCCGCCGTCGCGCCAAACCGTGTCCGTGAAACTTCTCTCGGCTGACTCGTTCGCCTCCCCGGGGAACACCGAGTGGTCATTTCCACCTTTTCGCACCTCCGACTTCCGGGAAAATCAATGAAACTTTGACCCGCGCGCATCCTGCCTCTTCGCCTCGGCTTTCGGAATTCGTCGTCATCGTCATCGTCATCGTCGTCGTCGTCGTCGTCCGATAGAAGGACTACCGATTTTCATAGCGGCTTCGGAGCATTCGGTTCCTGGACGGGCGCTGTCGAGAACTACGACAACGACGAGAACGGACAACGAGCAACGAAGACAACGACAGCGACAGCAACGAGAAGGTGGAACGAGAACGGGAGACGGTGGCTCGGTTCTTCGCCACCTCTCTGTCGCTGCGTAAACACGAAGCATCGCGGTGCGCACACGGGACGGGCATTAGGCGAAGGAGACCCTCGCGTAGATTCTCAGAATGCATATAATTAAGCACGCTGCATCTCAAGAATGCTGTATACGCGCGTGCGTTCAGCTTTGTGTAGTGACTCGTTCGAGAGGCAACGTGCCCGTGTGTACCTTATATAGATACGCATAAATATATGCCTAGCCGTCGTTGGTCCCTCCACCCCTGCGAACCTCTCAGCCCTTGAGCTCCTCATCCCCGCCGGCCCCGCCGCTCCTCCCCCGCCCCCCTCCCTCCCCCGGAACCACGGAACCCCGGCCCCCATTCGGCCCCCATCGGCCCCCTTACGGCCGCCTCTCAACCCCGTTCCACTCTTCCCCCCTTTTCTTGCCCCACGCTCAACGGTGATCTATGTATCAGCCTGTGCTCGCCGAACCGGGCAACGTGTGTCCGTCCCCCTCGTGTGCTTACTTTATTATCGGGGCTCAAATGAGAATTTATGCAGACATAAACGCTCGTGTCAGCAGCATGCCGCGTAGGTGGGGAGGCACCGTTGAACAGGCATCTGTCACCCTCTATGCTTTACCTGGTCCGCCTTCGAGACGGTGCCACAGGCTTTTTCGAGGGCCGCGCGAAATTTAAGGAACACGAGAGAGAGAAAGAGAGAGCGAGAGGGAGAGAGAGCCGGACGAGAGAACGAGCGCCGAACCGAAATCTCTGTCTTTCTGGCCGGAACTAGTTTCCCCGATCGCGTCGAGCACGGGCCGGAGCGAACGATCGCCGACGACGAGTCGCTTTTTCACTTCTGGCGAATGAGAAACGCTCGCTTATGCCGATCTGGTTAAGGGGCAGCCGGTATCCGCCGGTATCCTCCGGATATAGCGAGGCGTGGGCTACGCGATCCCCGTTTAGGCTCGTAAATAAATGAAACCTACGAGTATACGTCGTAGCCGACTTTTATATAAATAAATGAAACCCGTGGCAGAAAAATACGCGTATTCTTTCGGCCGATGAATCATCGTAAAAGTGTCCGGCCGTTCGGTCGGTATACTTATCCTAACGTTTACACGGGACTAACTCTCTCCCTAACTCCTTATCCTTTACGGGACGTTTTAATAAGCACTGTGTGTATGTAGTATTTTCTGTTGCGCGCGGAAGGCGAACCAACCACCAGCCGGCGAATAAATCGGGAACGAGCCGGAATATTTGCGGAGCGAATTTTCCTCGAACGATTAATCTCCCGCGGATTTATTGGCGCGTTTTCGACGGGGCTGAAAATAAGAAATCTGTAATTGTTCGGCGAAACAGGGAACGAGCGGAACGGCGCGGCAACGGCGGCGGCGGCCGCGACGGCGGTGGTTTTCATCGCGTCGATCATCGTTCATTAGGGCGACGCGTGTGCGCGAAATGTCGAATCGTCGACAAAGTACCGGCCGTGCGGTTTATCTTTCGCATTATGCGAAACATAACGCAGTTATTGCTCGTGATTAATTAAAAGAACGAACGTAAATTTATTCGGCGGACGGTCCGCGCGCGCGTCGATATTGAAATATCGGCGCGGCGTGATATATTTCGAGGCGTGTTTTCCTTTTTTCCGATTATCCGTTCAATATCAGCGCTGACGTAAAATGTATCATCACTGTACGGAACGGAAGGAACGGTACCGCCATCACGCATCCGAAAATTAATCGGCGTGGGCGCAGCCGATAACGAATGGTGTTCCCGCCAAACGGCCAGTATATTTTACTTTGTACTCCAGTGTCTGTTATTTTCCGCGCATTCTAGCTGTCCGGCTACACGATTTACTCCCGGTCTCGATCAGAAATTCTCGGCCGCAGCGGATGGACAAATATCCACTGGAATCCATTAAAAAATTGCCGTGTCCCGGAGAATTGTCTTTTAATTGAAATTGATCTGTTTGACCACAGGATATTATATCCTTCAGTCTGCCGGCGGGCAGAGATATTGGACCGTTACAGGGAGCTGTTTGTTCCAGCAGCTGGCATACTTTTCAGCTCCTACGAGCTACTACGAGCTACGACTGGGCTACGGCCTGTCTAGTTCGTATCTATCGTACTTTGCGCGATACCTATATTAGGTCCGCCATATTTGTGGAGCATCGTTGGCGCGGTGATACGGAGATAGAACCGATAACCGAGTGCCTTTCGAATCCTTCGGATTCGATAGGCGTTGTTCCGACGGTACCAACGCGAGCGATTCGCCGATTGCCCGTTCGTCGCATCGGCGAGTCGTCGATCGGCTTCATAACCTCACATTTCGGATCGAATTGATGGTAACGCGAGGCGTACGTACTTACATTCGGGGAGATCTTGCGGGAGGTTTCGGTTGGACACGCCGTCGGATGGGCACGTCGGATGGAGGAATCGTGGAATTCGGGAACGGAGAGGCGTCGAGGGTCGCGTCGGATGATGGGATCGAGTATTCGTAACGGGTAAAAATCGATAAATACCCTCCTTCCTAGAGACATCCGGCTAATCGAGGTTGCGTCGCGAAGCGAACAGAGAGCAGTAGAGAGAGAGATATATATATATATATATTCTGTCGAACACAAGGTGTGTGTACGTGTGCACCGTGCAACGTGCACGTACGTATATATACGCCGCGGCACGTATAGGTATACATAGCGGGCGAATAGCGGCGCTGCACGGCGACTCCGCGACTCGTGGCCGACAGGTGGCGGCAGCGTTGAAGATTGCGCGTCGTTTTCCGCCATCTTTAGTTGGCGGACCCGAGCGAAGAGACAAGTCAAGAGAGCTCCGTGGCGAGAAGCGATAAGGCGAAGAAGCGGTCGGTTCACGGGGGCAAAAGGGAATTTGGTGGATCGAGTGTCGCGGTGCCGAGCCAGCCGTGTCCTCGTTCGAGCACGATTCACGGAATCGCCTTCGGTCGATCCTCGCGATACGGTAAGCACAGTAGGATTCTGCCTCTCGGTCGTTCGCCATTACATCGTACATACGTCGACCGATAGGGGGGAAAAAACTTGTCATTTCCGTGACGGTAGTGTTTACGCTGGGTGTGTCAAAGTGTTCCTCCTCTGTCTTCTTTCTCTTTTCCGCCTTCGTCTTCTGTTTCCCCGTCGTTCTCTCTCCACCGTGCTCTTTTCTCCGTTCTCTCTGCTCCGTGTTCCGACGGTGTACGCGTATATAATCGCGGTTATCGTATCTCTCTTTGCCGTTCTTCCGTTGTTCCGTTCTCGCTTCCCTGTCGCTCTCTCACCGCTCTCCGTTCTCTGCCCTCCGCGCACCGCGCACCGCTCTTCGCTGGTCGTCGATCCTCGGAAAATGGTGATGCATTGGATTCTCGGAGGCTTTGTTGTGTGCCGCACGCCCACGCGCGTCCCTCTACCTTCCGTCTCGAGAGAGAATCGTTCGCGCTTCCTCTCCGCACCTCTAGCCGTGCTCCTTACCGAGTGACTTTCTGGCACATTCCTTCGAATGGTATCGCATCGGATCGAATATAGTGCCGTTTCGTGGTATCGCGCGACCCGTCGCTCGTCGCGCGACGGAACGGAAGCTGCGAGGACGCTCGCACGGAACAATCTTTCGATTCTGACCACATTCCGTGCGGGCCCGTCCTCCTTCCATTATTCGCGGTACGGTGCACTGACCCTGTGCGCGTCTTCGCGTCTCTTTGTAGCCTGCAGCGTGTGACGAATAACGTTCGCGACACGTAATACGAAAGATTTCTCCCCGCTTCCTGATCCGTAACGCGATAGATCATCGGAGCTTTGCGCCGCGACCTTATTCGATTATTGTCACGTCGTTCCTGTGTCTATAACAACGTTTCTTTACTCCAGGTGTGGATAGACTCTCCCGTAGGAGCCATGAGTTACCAAATGTCTTTGAATCAGTCCAGACCAAGTAAGTATGCTTGCCTCGTGCCGCAGAAAAATTTCAAGGGTTTCGAAGTTACCTTACGCTGTTTCGTCCGGCAGTGTCTCACGGGAACTACCAGGGACCCGGGGATCTGCCCATGGGTTCCACCAAAGAACAGACCCTGATGTGGCAACAGAACTCTTACATGGTGGACTCTGGAATTCATTCTGGCACTGTCACCCAGACTCCTTCCTTGTCGGGCAAGGAGGACGACGAGATGGAGGGGGATCCTTTGATGTTCGATCTGGATCAGGGCTTCGCGCAGGGGTTTACCCAAGATCAGGTAGACGAAATGAATCAACAGCTGAGCCATACGAGATCCCAGCGGGTACGGGCAGCAATGTTTCCAGAAACGTTGGAGGAAGGTATAGAAATTCCTTCTACTCAATTTGACCCCGCTCAACCCACTGCCGTGCAGAGACTGGCAGAGCCTAGTCAGATGTTGAAGCACGCGGTTGTCAATTTAATCAATTACCAAGACGACGCGGATCTGGCGACTCGCGCGATACCAGAACTGATAAAGTTGTTGAACGACGAAGATCAGGTTGTCGTATCCAAGGCCGCGATAATGGTGCACCAACTCTCGAAAAAAGAGGCCTCTCGTCATGCGATCATGAACAGTTCTCAAATGGTCGACGCGTTGGTGCACGCGATTTCGAAGAGCAACGACCTCGAGTCGACCAAAGCAGCGGTCGGTACCTTGCACAATTTGTCTCACCACAGGCAAGGTCTGCTGGCTATATTCAAGAGCGGCGGTATACCCGCCCTCGTTAAATTGTTAAGCTCTCAAATGGAGTCCGTGCTTTTCTACGCGATAACGACCCTCCACAATCTATTGTTGCACCAGGATGGCTCCAAGATGGCAGTCCGCATTGCCGGAGGTTTACAGAAGATGGTCGCGTTGCTTCAACGCAATAACGTCAAATTCTTGGCCATAGTGACAGATTGCCTGCAAATCTTGGCGTACGGTAATCAAGAGAGCAAGCTGATCATACTTGCTTCGCAAGGACCGATAGAGCTGGTGCGCATAATGCGTTCCTACGACTACGAAAAGCTGCTGTGGACGACGTCGAGAGTGTTGAAGGTGTTGTCCGTCTGTCCGAGCAATAAACCCGCGATCGTCGACGCGGGTGGCATGCAAGCGCTCTCGATGCATCTTGGGAATCCGAGCCAGAGGCTCGTCCAAAATTGTCTGTGGACGCTGCGGAACTTGTCCGACGCCGGCACAAAGGTAGACGGGTTGGAGGTATTGCTGCAGAGCCTGGTGCAGATGCTGAGCTCGACCGACGTCAACGTCGTCACATGCGCCGCCGGTATTTTATCGAATCTGACTTGCAACAATCAGCGCAACAAAGTAACGGTTTGCCAAGTCGGGGGCGTTGACGCCCTAGTACGCACTATCATTTACGCGGACAGTCGGGAGGAGATCAGCGAGCCGGCGGTGTGCGCGCTCCGTCATTTAACGTCGCGTCACGGAGAGGCTGAAACCGCGCAAAACTCTATCCGCTTGAATTATGGAATCCAAGTGACGGTGAAACTGCTGCAACCACCGTCGCGCTGGCCCCTCGTCAAAGCGGTGATCGGATTGATTCGCAACTTGGCGCTGTGCCCGGCGAATCACGGACCTCTTCGCGATCAGGGCGCGATTCGCGATCTCGTCAGGCTTCTGATGGACGCTTTCCCCGAGGCACAGCGGGTAGGCTAATATCAAATCCCCCTCTTACACCCGATCCTCGATGCACCCCCCGATACCCGGAACCAATCCGAAAGCGGAAATTTACGAAATCTGTTGTTTAGCAGCAACGATCGTCAGTGGCGAGCACCGGAAGCCAACAAACGTCGGCAGCGTTCGCGGACGGCGGTGTACGCATGGAGGAAATTGTCGAGGGAACCGTTGGAGCGCTCCATATTCTCGCGAGAGAGTCTCACAACAGGGTGATCATCAGATCGCACAACGTCATTCCGATTTTCGTGCAGGTTTGTACGAAACTTCCTTGGTTCGATACGTTGGCGCGCTCCTCCCTCGCCTCGTCCGTCGTCCTAAATGCTGGTCTGCGACATTTTGCACGCAGCTGCTGTTTAACGAGATCGAGAACATCCAACGCGTAGCGGCCGGAGTGCTCTGTGAGCTTGCCGCCGACAAAGAAGGTGCCGAAATGATCGAACAAGAAGGTGCTACCGCTCCTCTGACGGAGCTGCTCCACTCTAGGAACGAGGGCGTCGCCACGTATGCGGCCGCCGTACTGTTCCGCATGAGCGACGACAAACCGCAGGAATACAAGAAACGGCTCTCCATGGAGCTGACCAACTCGTTGTTCCGCGAGGACACAAATCTCTGGAACAACGGCGACTTCGCGATGCCCCCGGACCTACAGGTACCGTAAAATACTTAACTCAGTATCGATGCATGCCTCGCTTAACGCCGTGGCTAAATTTATTTTTTTACCGACACTTTGTAACACGGACCATTTATTTTGTTATTTTATCTATTTTTCTGATCTGGCGGCATGTGCTGCGATAAGAATATGCACCATTTAATATTTCCTTGTACCGTGTGCCGTGTGTAGCTTTCGAATAGATCAGACTTTCAGCGTTCGGATAGTCGAGGAGAATTTGCCACACACAAGTTCCCTTCTGTACACAGATCGGTTACACAGTGTTAAGTAAATTGAGCCACGAAAACGGAATAGCGATAGCGAATACTCTCCTGACCTAGTACCTAGTCACACAGCAGGTACATACTCGCACACGTAATCTTCCCCGCCATGTAAGTTTAGAAGTGTACGACTAGATAGTTTGCAGAAGTAAATGTCGTTATCCATTATTCCAGTTTGCACAACTTAAACATGTTCGCAAGTTGAAACGTGTAACCAAACGAGAAACGCAAACCTGGCTTTTCTTTTCCTTTAATTTCGACGACGCGCGGTCGCATCGGCGACGAGCCGGGGAAATGAATAAATATATACTATCGCGCCGTGTATACTGGTACGTTCGTCGGTGTCGATTCACGGTGTCTCGTTCGTTCGTTCGTTCGTTCGTTCGGCCTGTTTCGGAATAGTTGTATGCAGAATAGTAAATGCATTCCTATCGAACGCGTTGTCTTTGAACGTAGATCGAGTGCCAGGGTCGTGCCTAATGGAGCAATGGAACCTGTAATAAATGTACAGCGATGACTTTATACATTATCATCCTCAGTTTGCAACGTTGCGTTATGCATGAGAATGCGTTTCGTTCCATTCGTGTTTCAACCCTTTTTCAAAGCTGAGTAACGAAAACGACATTGCCGCGATATTACTCTCTCTCTCTCTCTCTCACTCATCGNAGTGCTCTGTGAGCTTGCCGCCGACAAAGAAGGTGCCGAAATGATCGAACAAGAAGGTGCTACCGCTCCTCTGACGGAGCTGCTCCACTCTAGGAACGAGGGCGTCGCCACGTATGCGGCCGCCGTACTGTTCCGCATGAGCGACGACAAACCGCAGGAATACAAGAAACGGCTCTCCATGGAGCTGACCAACTCGTTGTTCCGCGAGGACACAAATCTCTGGAACAACGGCGACTTCGCGATGCCCCCGGACCTACAGGTACCGTAAAATACTTAACTCAGTATCGATGCATGCCTCGCTTAACGCCGTGGCTAAATTTATTTTTTTACCGACACTTTGTAACACGGACCATTTATTTTGTTATTTTATCTATTTTTCTGATCTGGCGGCATGTGCTGCGATAAGAATATGCACCATTTAATATTTCCTTGTACCGTGTGCCGTGTGTAGCTTTCGAATAGATCAGACTTTCAGCGTTCGGATAGTCGAGGAGAATTTGCCACACACAAGTTCCCTTCTGTACACAGATCGGTTACACAGTGTTAAGTAAATTGAGCCACGAAAACGGAATAGCGATAGCGAATACTCTCCTGACCTAGTACCTAGTCACACAGCAGGTACATACTCGCACACGTAATCTTCCCCGCCATGTAAGTTTAGAAGTGTACGACTAGATAGTTTGCAGAAGTAAATGTCGTTATCCATTATTCCAGTTTGCACAACTTAAACATGTTCGCAAGTTGAAACGTGTAACCAAACGAGAAACGCAAACCTGGCTTTTCTTTTCCTTTAATTTCGACGACGCGCGGTCGCATCGGCGACGAGCCGGGGAAATGAATAAATATATACTATCGCGCCGTGTATACTGGTACGTTCGTCGGTGTCGATTCACGGTGTCTCGTTCGTTCGTTCGTTCGTTCGTTCGGCCTGTTTCGGAATAGTTGTATGCAGAATAGTAAATGCATTCCTATCGAACGCGTTGTCTTTGAACGTAGATCGAGTGCCAGGGTCGTGCCTAATGGAGCAATGGAACCTGTAATAAATGTACAGCGATGACTTTATACATTATCATCCTCAGTTTGCAACGTTGCGTTATGCATGAGAATGCGTTTCGTTCCATTCGTGTTTCAACCCTTTTTCAAAGCTGAGTAACGAAAACGACATTGCCGCGATATTACTCTCTCTCTCTCTCTCTCACTCATCGCTCTCACTTTCTCTCTCTCTCTCTCTCTCTCTCTCTCTCTCTCTCTCTCTCTCTCTCTCTTCCATCTTTTGAACGCAACAAACGCGTTGCACACCGACACACGTTCTATTCTCCGTGTCCGTATCCGCATCCATGCCCGTCTCCGTATCCGTGTCCGTATATTCATATTCATATTCATATATACATATGCATATATCGTATCACCGCCGCCTTTACTAATTTTCACCGCGATTTATCGACTCGATACTGCGACGACGAGTAGTATCTTTACTCGCCCTTTACTCTCGACGCGGTGTTAAAGACACGCCTACAAGAGAAGATACGTTTTGTGTTGATCTGAGCTACCTAATCTTCAGGACATGCTTGGCCCTGATCAAGGCTATGATGGTATGTATGGACAAGGACCTCCTAGCGTACACAGCAGCCACGGAGGTCGAGGGTATCAGCCGCACGGTAAGTCACTGGCGTCATCCTTTCTCTATCCGATAATCGCTTTCGAACGATCGAGAAGCTCGGTGGAACGTAGCTGATTCTTACAAAAATCAATTTCTCTGCTCGTGATAATCCTTAATCAGGGTGTTCCGATTGTAACCTTGTAGAATCATTCCCCAACGATGGGCGGTTAGCATCTCGCCGCACGCGAATTACTGAGAACAAGCGTGTTTCGGTTCTAATAGATCTTAGCCTACTTGGGGAACGTTGAACGCTCGCCTCGGAATTATTTGGCTCGCGCATCGGGAACGGAATTTGTATGGGGTGTTGTGTAGTGCGGGGTTCTCGCGGTGTGCTCTCGTGGCCTTTCCTTTGTTTCTCTATGATAGAGTTCTATTGGCCGTGCGGGGATCGCCTTTTGTACGATACGCGAATTTTCAAACGTTTTTCTCGCGATAACCCGTATATACGATAGCGTATCTTAATATTACACGACGATAAGAAGAAAAAGCAGCGCATTTAATTCAATGTTGTTTTAACAGCAGCTTAACCCACGGACTTATATTAAAATACAGGCTATCAACAGTATCTCGCAGTAACATAGGTGACACTCAGCTCTTACTTATACTGTTCTATGCTTTTTTATTATATTAATCGCTACATGTTCTTCACACGCATTTCATTGTTTCTACGTTTAATATTTATATTATGGTCGCTACACGTATGTATCTCTATCGCTCAGTTTTTGTAAATTGTATCCTACTTGTAATTGCACGTTTTTTGCGAATGCACATTTTACTTTCTCGTTGATACCGTATTATACACGCACATCACACACATACACACAGAGATTCATAGGGTTTTTTCGTAATCGTTTTTTTTTCCACGCAGAAAAAGAAAAAAAAGAAAAGAAAAGAACGTTTCATGCATGACACAATTTTCGTTATCCTTTCCCTAATTGAATCTACTTTATGGTGGAAAGAAGAATAGAAAAACGTATTCGTAAGTAATTAGATAAGGTGTTCACTTTCGCGAACGTGCCGAGAGAACGCGCACAGTCATGCAAATAACTATGTCCGACTACCGCGAGTCGTAACGAATTTGTCGATCGGCCGGTGCCGATCTTTCGATCGCTAAAAACGATATACTGGTGGTTCTTGTACGATCTATCTCAAACTTCGCTTGTAGTTCCTCGTCGGTATCGATGACTTCTCGTCGTTTCTCTCGCTACCTCGAAAAGTCCATTCGCCTTTTTCCGCGCGTGTCGTTCTGCTTCTGAATTTTTGATCACGTTTTGTACGATCACGTTGTTTATCGTTTGTCGTTTGTCGTCGTATCTAAACATATTATGTATTCTACCTACCCGTATATACATGTATACATATGTATATGTATATACCTATATCTTTTAAAGAAAGAGCAACGAATGTTTTGCTTTCCTCTAAATCTCTCGGCAAGAAAAAGAATATCTTTTGCGAATACTTAGCAGAAAATTTGTGCTCTATACTTATCATTACATATTTACTGGTTGAGGAAACTTTTTAGCAAAATCTTTTAGCGGCGTAGTTCTTGTCGATTCGTGTGATCGGATCGAATCGGAACCGTTGGTGTTGATCATGACAATTTTCTACCGCAACAGGTTATGGCCAGATACCAGTAGATTCCATGCAAGGGTTGGAAATAGGTGGAGGGTCGACGTATGGCGCGATGGACACTATGGACGTAGCGCACGAGGGTGACCTGAGTTTCGATCATTTAGAAGAGCTTCCTGCACCGCCGCAAGACAACAACCAGGTCGCAGCCTGGTACGACACCGATCTCTGAAACTGTGCCAGCGCAAATCCACCCACATCCCTGCACACGAACACAGGAACACGCACACCAGCGCACACACACACACACACACACACACAAAGACGAAAGCACACTTTCGCACGCATATCGACGACAGACATAATTACATTTCACACTGACGAAGACACGGACGCGGAACATACGTGAATCCTCCTCGGGGAGGCGGACTAGTGAGGCTCTTAAGTAATTTTAATACAGACTAAAATAGTATCGTCGTTTTACTCTCACCCTGTATATCGATCGAGATCGAAAGAATTTTGACAAATTACCACACCACCATCATTAACCACCACCACCACTACCACCGCCGCCACCACCACCACCGCCACCAAAACCACCGTCACTACCACCGCAAGAACCATTACCGATTTACCGGCATTAACCGTGGAGAACGACGAATTATCAAACGCGGAACGCGAACGATCATCGCAGAGAAAAAAACAGTTAAACGAAACATGTCGAACTCGAGTATATACGAGTTAATACGCGGAGAGGTACCGGAAAATCTGTAGCTTGTTTTTACACGAAGGAAACAGGGTACGAAAAAATCATGTGCTCGCAGCACACGGCGCATTGATTCTTTAGACATACGAGAAAACCGGTGTCGCTATATACAACTATCTGCATATACATATAAATAATGCGTATGTGTATGCATATACATATATAACTTACCAGTGTCGTACCTTAGATATTTATAATAAAAGGTAAAAGAAAAAGATACTGGAGAGCCTGGAAACGAGGACATTGTTCACGGCGATGATGACGATGATGATGATGATGATGATGATGATGACGATGAGACGAGACGAGACATCGAAAACGGTCACACGTTGACGTTATGGTTCGACGAGTCCCGTGTATTACAAGTAACAAAAAAAAAGGAACCCTGTCGATTTTATACCTCCACTTTTCTTTACGGAATCTACGAAATTATTGTTACGCCCGTCGGGAAGAACGGTATGCCACGTTTGAATATCGTAGCTCTAAGAAAAACAGGACGAGGAGACGGAGAGGAAGAAACGGATAAAAAGAAGTATCGAACCGCGCGAGAATCGAACGCCACGCGTAATACCGTGTCAGCGTTAATCACAGCAGTATTTTGTTCGACGAGAGCATCGATAAATGTTACGCATCCGCAGACAATATCTCAGTTTCGCGTACGCAGACCGCGGTCGAGTTCATTCTGTTTATTTTAGGGACCATGTAATAATCTACTCTTTTTTTCTTGAATTTTCACGCGCGAAACGGCGCGATCGTTCGATTAATTATTCCTTTGAATTTCGTCGATTTCGAACGCGACGATTTCTACTCGTGGCAGTATAAAAAAAACGATTACCGAACGACGTACGATCGATACCGCATTACGCATTTTATACGTAGCCGTTGCATTTCACGATTCTCTTCCAGTGTCGTGCATCCGTAATTTATAGTGGAAATCATCGAGGAGATCTTCGTTGGGCGAGCGAGCATTCGATTATTTTTCACGCGAGCACAAACCGATCGCGAGGCGCAGCATTGTTTGTGTCGCGGTTCGCAAGCGTCGGCTACGGCTCGAAAACGGCTCGCACTTTGCCGGGATGGGTGCGCGTTCTCGGTACACGGCGTCCACGAACTTCATATTCTCGTTCTCGTGATTTCGCGACGAAACCGCGTCGAGACTGCTCTTTCCTCGGGACTGCTGGACACTGGCGGTAGACGTCTAGAGGAAGGACGGACCACCTACCCACCTAAACGTACGATTCCACGCGAAAGGCTAATCGAGGTATACGCAGAATGTTCGCGGTTTCACGATTCATAGTGATTTCATACCATTGCCGCTCGTCGACGTGCGCTCGGGCGAACTTGTAAACTTTGAGAAGGATCAAAGGGAGAGAAGATGTATGTAATCGTGGACGGGCGAAACGCCGTGGTCTCATCGACGAAGCCTCGCCCGCGTGTTCGTACGACCGAACGAAATCTTTTAATCCGCGCGTCGCCAGTTGTCATCGAGGGTATTTCCTTGGTGGACACGCCATCCGTTCGTGGTGCGGTGTTACGGTTCAAATCGAAGACGATAAAAGTATATCGCGCGTCGATCCGGAGAGAACGCACTGCCCGACACTGTCGATTGCCTGAATAATCCATTATATCATAGGTCTCCTTCGAAACTTGCGAATCTATTGAATTGCAGAGAGCGTTTACCTATTTATACCGCTAACCCCCCCGAAACGATAGTATCATTCTCGAGTATCAGTGAATTACAATCACGAATAAATATAAACGAATATCAATGAACTTTCGCATTACGTATTTTACAGGGTAGTTATACTTAATTTTTATTATTATCATTAAACAAAAAAAAAAAACGTAGCAAACGCAATCGCGGCGCGGAGCACTTTGCGTCGTGTTCGACGCCCTGTGTCCGCCTTCGATCGCTGTCGATGTATTTAGACCTATAAGAGAGAAAGAGAGAGAGGGAGAGAACGAGAGTGCGCGCGCGAGAGAGAGAAAGAGAGAGAGAGAAAGAGACAGACACGTAATTCGTACACACCATGTATATGTATCGTTTAATTGTCCAAACGAATAAACTGAGCGATTAAGTACTCGAACTGCGTCAGGCGTTAATCACTGTTTTTCACCTACGTCGAGCTATCTCGCACCAACGATCTCGCTATCGCGTGCCGCACTCGGTGCACTCACACCGTTACGCGATTCCTATGATTCTGCGATTTTACAATTCCACGAGCAGCTTTCGAACGCGCCTCCTTGCTGGGATCGAGAACCTTCCTGGAACTTCGACTCGTTGCCATCGCCCCGTGACGGTAGCAAGAGCTCCGAGCGAATCGATTCGTCGATCCGGCGATCGACGTCAGCGCTTCGTTCTCTAGGGATCTATTCTTTAAAGTCGCGTGCGAATCTTCGTTCGCGAGCAAGTCGTTTGCAATCTCTTTACTTGATAAAGATCGTAGATAGTGGATCAACAGATTATGTAGCGTGACCGATTGCTGTGCCTCTGGTCCATTTTCGGGCAGAATTAACGTTACAGTTTTGTCGAATATGACGTGTTGAATTTTTTTATTCAACGATAAACAGAAAGATAGATATGTTAAATGTTTTTATTCAAAATTAAACGAAATAAAGGGATTTCATTGTTATGAGAATATTATCGTTCTATGATATTGTTATAAGAATGTTACTATTCTATGATATTGTTATAAGAACGTTACTACTCTATGATATTGTTACAAAAATGTTACTATTCTATGATACTGTTATAAGAACGTTACCATTCTATGATATTACGATTATAAGAATATTATTATTCCGTAATATTATAATTTCTTTTCCGGTTTATTTTTTAACAAACAAATAGATTGTATGTATTTCAAAAGATGTAACTTATTCGACAACTACGAAGTTACGTGTACGAACCGAAGCACCGCAATTGTTCACCCCGCGGTAACCGGCTCCGTTGTACCCTAGGCATGGGTGCGAGCACGGAGAAGGAAGAATTCGACACGTGTTTTTATGCAATCTATGCAAATGCAGGGAATTAGTCCGAGAGTTGGTAAACGGTATATACCCGAGGCGAACTTGCGTCGGAGAAGGGCGCGCGTTCGTTCGCCAGGTCATTAATCGGCAGTCGACTGTCGAGCGGCGCACATTCGTGCGTGCACCTCTCTCCTCGAAGGTTCGGCTATCGCGTTTTAACAGTTACTCGGTTTCCGTGACACGAAGAAAGAGGACCCGTCGGTTGTTGTTTCGTACAGTGCGGCCGGAGCCCCTGCCAGAAACGGTCCGTTGGATCGAGAGGGAAGCGTTTCCGGTTCGACCAACAGCTGTCGCCTCGGCTGGGAATACTATATCCAGCGAAACCACGGGAACGCGACGATCTCGCATCGATCTCGGCGTAATATCGCGCGTGCGCTCCGACGTTACCACGATTAATCGGCCGATTCGAACGCCGATTCCTGGCGCCGTCGCGAGGAAACGAGGGAAGAATGGTGCGGGCCGCGACGTAAAAATTCAAGCCGAGGAACCTTAATCGCGGCTTTGATCGCCGTAGATCGGGAAAAGGAGAGGCGACGAGGTAAGTGCGAAAGTGGAGCACGTTTAAACCGACGTCGGACCGCGCGATCGCGCGCCGCGTTCCCAATCGACGAAAACTCTCGTCCGCGAACAATCGCAGGCCGAAGAATCGCGCCGAAGGTTCTTTTTCGACGTTACGCAGACGATCTCGGCGCGTAAGATAATCGCGACTTTGGTAATCGACACCGGGTATCCGCAAGCTACCCTTGAAACGGGATAGTTCTCGAGCAGACCGGCAGAAAAATGTGGCACGCGATATAGAAATCGCGGTTCATTGACTGTCGACCGGTCGAGTGGAAGCTAGAGAGACGGCGAAGGCGACAGGCGACATCGGTGTTATTCGACCGAATCCAGATTTAAACTCGTTACCCTTGAAAGTTGCCTCGGAAGAGCGGTTTCGGCCTCAGTCGAATTCCTTGGAAACAGGTTAAACTAACTTGATCCTTTTTGATCTTGGTCCCCGGCGGGAGGAGGGGGTGGGGGCGAGGGAAAGGACGATTCGCGGACCGATCTTTTCGGACGCGATATTCGGGGCGTTCGCTCGAGAACCGCGAATCCTTCGAACGATCAAGAATCGATCCCGCGGCGTGGAGAGCCTATGCGCTCGATCGAACGCGTCGCGACTTTCGACGCCTCTGCGGGAGATCGCGCGAAGCGATTTTTAGCTACCGGCGTAGCTAAAAAGGGTCGCGCGACGAATGGAAAAGCGGCTGCCGCGGTTCGTTGGCTCCGGCACAGCGAGCACGATCGAACAAGTTCGTCTTCGGTGGAGCCGATTAAGGCGATTAAGGCGGTTAAAGGTGGCGCGTCGCGGCGCACCGCGTCGGATCGTGACGCGTCTCGCGGAGAACCGGTAATGACGTGAAAGTGCATCCAGGTGCGAGGGAGCGAGCGGCCGAACGGGTCTCCGTTCCTCCGGCAGTTTCGCTCGGCTCGAGACAATCTCTCTCTCGGCTCGCAGTCGATCTCCCGACTCGCTGCCGGAGAAATTGTTCTACGGTCCCCGACGATCGAATTGCTTATCTAGTCGAGCGCCGATCGCCTGGCCTGTCCTGTCGTTGCCTTTGCCGCCTTCGCTGCCTTCTCCGGCGGCCTCCCTTGCCTTCTCTATTCCCTGGGCGCGGGGTTCGGCGTGAACTTTTCGTTGCGCCAGCAGCGGCGCCGGCCACGGTTAACTCTTGTGCACCTGTTGCTCGAGTCGTTCCCTCGTAGATCACGCGATCCGGTTGCCCGTAATTCTCGCGACGCGACACGGAAATTGCTGTCCGCGATTCCCGCGAGCCGAAATCGGTGGGTGAAAAACCGCGCGGATATTTCCTTAACGGAAGGCGGCCGGGCCGGACTCGTGCCGCGCGTGAAACAACGACGATTATCATCTCTCTTCTTCTGTTCTGCACAGGTAAACCGGGCGTCGGCCAGCGTGGTACCCGTGGATCCACAGCCCAGTGAAATAATCTCGTCGTGTAATCGTCGACGAAGACCGCAAAGCCTGTGTCGGGACGGGGTTCGGCACGACGATGATGTTTGCGCGGTTGCACGCGGCAAACATACCGAAGGATCGTTGACAGAGCAAAGAGGAAACGTTCGAGCCGCTCGAAAATGACCGTCGCGATGGAACACAAGCGGAAGAGCTCGTGGGATTCGAAGGTGAGACGAATGTGGCGCACTTTCCCCCTGCACGAGAGCTTTCCTTGCTCGTTACCTTCTCGTTTGTGTTTTGCCGCGGTTAATTAGCTGGTTGGCCCCCTGTGTGAAATCGGGCGCGAAACAAAACGTAAAATCGAGTAGAAACGGTGTATGTGTTATGAGGGGACACGGTAAGAACGCGCATTGTGTTCGACGGGAGCGCAAACACGCGCGGCAGACGAATAGGGCGGTGGTGTCGGTGGGGTGACCAATTGCTGTGACGTCGGCTCGTTCTCAGGCATAATTAACTTTGCAATTATCGAATTAGACGTATCAATCTTCTTTTTTTTTTTTTGGTCTTTTACGTTGTTTATTTTCTCACACACACATCGGATAAGTATAAAGTCAATTACACTAATGTCTCCCTAACTGACGCTCAGATTGGGCACAAAAATGGACGATTTCGGAAGAGAAGATACGATTGTTCAAGCCTTGTGACTCATTTTTTATGGTTATCGATTGTCAACAACTATTAAAACGAGCTGCAAAGCTCGAATAATCGCATAATCCTCTTCCCAAAGTGTCTATTTCTATGAACAATTTGAGCGTCAATTAGAGAGACATTACTGTACGTGGTGCTTGGTATCGTGGAGTAACCAATTTCCGAGCCTCTCGTTTGTCATAATCTCGTTCGACACGATTAACTTTACATTTATCGAATAAGACGTATCGAATGATTTTATTCTTTCATTTGGATTATTTTTTAATAAAAGAAAGTAACACGTTTTATATGCTAATTGTGCCACTGCGATTGATCGCTACCCCATTTTTTTTTATTCTTCGTTCGATTCGTAAAACAGAGAGTTCGTCGACGAAACGGATAGTTTTTCGTGGGTAACGTCGCATCTGTTTCCGTTGGAGCGCGAAGGTACGGCGCGTCGCGTCTCCGCAGACGCGGTGGCCTTGTTCTCCGTTGACCCCGAATGGCTAGCGATACACCGAATACACATACATACCTACGCACTCGACGGAGAACTAGGTTGAAGAGAACTGGAATGAAGAACACGATGCGTTAGCTCGGGTTGGCTCGGGCCGACCTGGGTTGGGCCGTCATCTACTACGCTATACATGTACATATATCGGGGCTCTGTTCTCGATACCGTTACATCGCTGCTAGTACCGGCAAATCACGCGATCGGCATTCCGTTCGAATATTGCGAGTGACATTTATCACGTGATAGGTAGGCGATCGCACCGGTCTCGAAGACACGAAAACCCTGCTTGCCCCGGACTTTTACCGCTCGCACCTCGAATCTCGAATCTCGCGGTTTCCGCCGCGCGCGGCCTGCAGCGTGCAGCGTGCAACGTGCAGCGTGCAACGTGGAGCGCGCACGCCGATCTATGTAATTTCGCCGGAGTATCGGTGGCTCGGGACGCATCGATCAATGATAAAGCAGAACGGAGCGGGCCGACGAACGAGAATTCCTCTTAATCGGTGAAAACGATTATCACGCGAACGGATAAACCGTCGAGCGATAACGACTATGTTTTACGGCGCTCGTATGGTTGGCTGCACGCACGTGCGATCGCGGCGGCAGCGGGCTGGAGCGGCCGTACGAACGGCCGTGCGATTGTACGAGCAGCGAGAGAGCGCGGCGTACCGGTAAACGATTGTAATTTAAAGCGGACAAAACTCGTTCCTAGATTCCTGCTCTTTTGGAAAGGTAATGGACGGTTTAGAGTAACGGTAAGAACGCCGTGGAAAGACACGAGGACCCAGGGGCGCGCGAGCCGAGTTCGAGAACTCGCTCGATTTCTTTCGCGGCGGTCATCGACACCGTTTCTTTCCGCGGCCCGGCGCGGGCCGGGCTTATCGCGAGATCGTCGCAATTATCGGCTCGGGATTCGCTCGATGGGAACGAGACGAGACATCGACGCGCACCGGAGCATCGGCGATCGAGCCGTAATTGTTATCGTTCCGATTCTATTCCACCGGAACCGGAACGTCGGACAGACGGATACGAGACGCACGCTCTCTCTCCGTGGAACGAAAATCGACAACGCACTTTCACGATAGCGTCGCCTATGGAAAGCGCTTTCCTAACGCGGCTAGTCGCCGCGATTTTTCCTCGACTTTGAAAGCCGTTGACCGTCTCCGTTAACGGAAGCGTTCTCGGGGCCGGTACAACCGCTCCTAAGCGGAGCACGACGCGGAACAGTCGAAACGCGTTCTAATATCTCTTCGGACGATCTTTACGACGCCTTTTCCCGACATTGAATCCCATTTTCGAAGCCGGTCCCGCGTACGAAGTAGCACGACCCTTCCAGCGGGACGAGATCCAGACGAAATCGCCTGAAGATCCGGCGGCCAATTGGATCTGGAGAGACGCGCGCGATCGCGCGTTTCGCAAGCGCGGCTCGTCGAACAAACGATTCCTATGAAAACTCGAACCAACGACCATTATCGAACTAGGTAGAGTGTAAACAAAGGCTTCGTGCTCAAACTTTCATTCGGCTTTCGTAATATCCCAGCGCCATTGTTCGCCAAAGACACCCCCTTGCGCTTGGATCGCAATCTCTTGCATAACCCGGGAGAACGAAATCTCGATTCGTCGGTGTACCGAGGTTCGATCGGAACGGTCCTCCCGTGTCCCCGGTCGAAATTCCAGAGAATCGTGTCCTAATTGCTCCAGCGTTTATCAAATTTATCGACCCAGTGTCTCCCACTGGGACCTCGCGAGCGCGCGCGCGCACCACCGCGCCGCGTCCCGTTTAAAGTAACGACGAGATAATCGTCGGTTCCTGTCGGTAGCCTACGGAAGCGATCGAAAACGGAGATCGTGCGGGATAGTATCTCATTAAGCGGCGTGCCGGGTATTGGTAAACCGCTTTCCCGTTTCTGCGCCTATAAACGCGATCGTCGCGAGCACGAGCGTAGGACGTCGAGTCCCGTGAGAAAACGAAATCGACCCTCGCCGATCCGCGAGAGCCTCGCGAATTCACTTTTACTCGGCGCATGGTGGGGCCATTGCGCGGCAAACGCGGCTAAATACATTTTATATCTTAAATCGCGCGTTGTATCGCTTTGCGCCTTATTTTACGCGATTCTAAGTACACGGTCGAGTAACCAACACTTTGAACCGAACGCTTCGATAAAACACCTCGAACAATACGCGACGAATACCGCAAGACAGATGCTCGAGTCGCGAGATTTTTCCGTGATAATAGCGTTTGTTTTTTACGGAAAAGTTTTTCTTTTCGAACGAAGGTCCGTCGAATGCGGCTAAAACGAACGCTGCAGCGCGCTGCATCTCGCCGAATTCACGATTAAAATGTAAAATGAGATATAAACATATTCTGTTAAGAATATAAATTAGTGTAAATCAGTAGACTCGATTCTAACATCATATCAAAAAGATAACACGATTATAAACGACGATTAGAGTACTGTTCTGCTCGGCACCAAAAATTAATAAGTGGTAAAAAAAAATCATGCCAAATCATGGGCCGCGTGCCCAACAAACTGTACGCGAATCAACTTTCCGTCACAGACATGTTTGATTCGAGTGACTTTTTGCCGCGTTTGGTATGCAATTGCCCCATTGTGCGGCGTCCCCACCCGCTCCGAGTCGTGCTCTTTCCGCGGCGCCGTAGGAGTTTCCCCTCGATCGTCGAGACACGGGCGTTCGAAATTCGCGTCGGAGATTTCCTCGCCGCGGAAACGTTGGCTTTTTTTTCTCGCGTTTCCAGCGGTCCTGCGGTCGCCGCGAGAGTTCGACACCGCGAGAAAAAGGTGCGCGCGCGCGATTCACCGGTTCCCCTTTCGAGCGTGTGCCGAGCGTAACATTTGAACGAGGGCGTAGGCCTCTTTGTGCCGCATCGTGCATTCGCGCGAATACACGAGCCCCGCGGATCTGTGTGTTGGTGACGGAACCGTGCACGTGCATCTCCGTGCATGCCGCTGTGCACCGGGACGATTACACGGCCGCTTGCTCGCGCTTGCAGCCGCTCGCGAACGCTCGCGGAACGCGCGCGCGCGCGCGCTCGTCCATGGAGATAAGCTCGTTTCTCTGGCCGATGAATGCAACCGTTCGTACACGGTTCACCAAATACGTATTATTGCCATTATCGCGTATCGCGAGCCCGTTCCCGACACACGCGGCCGGATATTCGAGACCGTTGCGTAAACGGTAACCCATTCTTTTCGGGTTCGCGTCGATCACCGTTCAATTTTCATCGCGGAACACGCTCGAGGCTGGATAGCGAACGATAGACGCGGCGGTTTCGGCGGTGGTTCAATCTTCGTCCGAGTCGTAAGACGGAAGTATGCCGATTGCTAATACAAGTCGTGCCTCGAGCCGAGAAATCTCGGTAATGCGGTTGCCTTGCGCCTATCGCGGATCCAGAAGCGGACCAGAGACGAGGCAGCTGAAACGAAACTTTCGAAACGGAGCGGTGCTCCGGGATCGAGCGAGCCCCGACCGAGAGAATCGGTGTTTATAGTAATAATAATCGTTTGTTCATGCGCACGGCTGAAAAAAGCTCTTCGTTGCAGAAGAAGAAGAAGAAGATAGAGATGTTGTGAAGCCGTCGCACGAATACAATGAAAATAAAAATCGACTAGAAATATAAAAGACAAAAATTTTCTTCGGCCATTGTGTGACACGAGAATTAAATAAAAATATATCTTCTCTTTTGAGAGTTTTATTAAATTAAAAATAATATAGTGGCGTTCTTAAATTCTTCCAAGATTATATATACATATATATAGATATAAATAGATATAATACAGGATAGTGAAAATCTTGGAAGAATTTAAGAACGTCGCGTTGCATTACTTTCAATTTAATAAAACTCTTGAGAGAGAAGATATATATATGTACTTTTATATATACTTTATATATACTTTTATTTAATTCTCGCGTCGTACAATAGCTGAAGAAAATTTTTATCTTACTATAAGATCCACTGTCTAATAATGATACAATTCAGGAGTGAGAAGAGAAAGTAAGAGAGTGTCGTGTATATATAATAAATATATGGTAGATATAGTAAGTATGTACATATAGCGCAGGAAAGTAGTTGATGGGAAAATAATTGAGAGAGTGATGCACTGTGACGACCACGAGGTTGGAATGACGAAAGGATTCTGTAAAAGTTCTGGAAAAAATCGAGAAAGTGTCCGCAACGATTTGCGACGATTAATCACTTTAGACAGTTTTGACAAACCGTAGAGCATACGGCGTGACTCGGCACGGTGAACAGATACGTGTCTGAAACTACGGATCGGTCCATGAAGATGTAGCTTGCTTAATATTTCCGGGGCAGTCGACGCGGGAGTTAACGAGTCCGTGTTTAACACGTTAAGCGGCGAGACCGTTCTGTCTCCCTTTCCGTTTAGCCCGCGTTAGAACATTCTGTGAAACCTGCGAACACCTTCTCTTAATCATACTCATTATCTTTCGGTGACGGTAACAAGTAATAATTAACCCCTTGCTATACTTTGACGGGTCTGATACGTGATGGAGATTTCTAGTAATAACCTGTTAAGTATGAACGTTATTCCGTTTTTTTTGTCATCGATATTCAAACGTTTCAGTAAATGTAGACACGCAATAAATATAAATTGTCTTTTTTCTTCTTAGGAATTATCACAATCGAAAAAATTCTAATTATTGAGTCCATGAAGAAAATGGTGCGGCAAGGGGTTGAGTACATTGTTTCATGATCTCCAAATATACAGAGATAGCATTTATATCACTATTAGAGAATAATATAATTATTTATAGTATTATTAGATAATAATATAATTATTTATTACTGATATATCGCCAGTCACCGGCGACTGACATCGCGTTCAACCCTTAGCCCTCGAAGACATGATAACTCCAGAACTCTAAACGTTTCTTCCAACCTTGAAGATTTCAATTATTCTCCGATCTTTATTCTCTTTCTGCACATAAAATTATACACTTCTGTATCTGACAATTTATTACAGAGAGACAGATTTAGTAATGCAAAAATTGTTCGAGGTTGCAGTGCAATGAATTTGATTTTTCATCCAAGAGTCGCCATTCGAGCGCAAAGGGTTGACGCGTCGATCGAACATCGTGGTGGCATAGAATGATCGTTGCATCGCATTTGTTTCAGATATCAGTGAGCACGGTCAGCACGCGAAGATTCAGCCGTGCCGGGACCCCGAGCTCGATTCTGTCCTCGGACAGCGACATTCGGTTCACGAGGAAGCTCGGCGGCCAGTATCGTTGCGGGTGCTGCGTTTTGGCAGCGTTTTTGCTGTTCCTTCTGTTCTCGGGGATCTCCATCTACCTTGGCTGTAAGTATCGCAGCCGGATAATAATCGAAACGCGGGAAACTCGCCCGACGCTCGCCGGGCGCTTTCTCCGCGAGAACTTGCGCGCGATTTGCCAGTCGTGGTGCGCCGTGTCGCGTAGCAAATGAAACTATCGCGCTACGGTTAACCGACGATCGACGTCGGTCTAGCTGGCATGAAATTACTCGGTGAAATAAGTCCGCCCGTGATCGTTTCGCGAGACGAACGAGTTTACGGCGTTTTGATATTCCGACGGTATTTGAAGCGCGAGCGACGCGTCTTCCTTTGGTCGGGTGTCCTTAGGCTTCCTTTAGGGTGTCCGTCTGAGAGTAAACCTCTCGACAATTGCTCCACAGGGTGTCCTAAAATTATTACGCAAGCGAGAAATGAGGAGTTCCTGAGGTCATTTGAAGTAACTTTTTCCTCTGTGAAAATGGAATCCGTCGTTTCGTTTACGAGTTATCAACGAAAAACAAGGACCAATGAGAGGCGAGATCAGCTGGCGCGTGGCGGCNATGTGTGTACGAAGAGCGAGGTATGCGTCTGTTGTGAATGCGTGCGCCGTGTGCTGAGCGAAGCGGAACAGTGGCCTGACATATGTTTGTACATATGTACGAACGTATGTACATATCGATGTACATATTAATTAAGAAGGAATAAATGAGCGCAGCGTCTCGAACGAGAGAACAAAGACGGAAGAAGGGCGAAGGAAGTCAGCGTCCTGCCTCGAAGCATTATGCTCAGTATCCCAAAATTATTGTACAAGCGAGAAATGAGGAGTTCCTGAGGTCATTTGAAGTAACTTTTTCCTCTGTGAAAATGGAATCCGTCGTTTCGTTTACGAGTTATCAACGAAAAACAAGGACCAATGAGAGGCGAGATCAGCTGGCGCGTGGCGGCCGCGTCGACGAGCGGTCAACGCCCAGTTCCGCTCACTGGCTCGGCCGCCACGCGCCAGCTGTTCTCGCCTCCCATTGGTCACTGTTTTTCCTTAATAACTTGTAAACGAAGCCGCGGATTGCATTTTCGCTGAGGAAAAAGTTGCTTCAAACGACCTCAGGAATTTGATGACCTCTCGCTTGCACAATATATAATCTCGAGGAATCCTGTACAGCAACCGTCGAGAATTTTACTCCCAGATGAACACTCGCCTCTCGTTCAGTCGCCTACGAGGTTTTTCCTCGCGATAGCGTGCTCTTCACCTTGGGATCGAGCACGGCCGTGCGATAAACGTGCCCGACGATCGAGCGACGAAGAACCGTGCATGCGAACGAGCGCGTGGGCTAATCGACGCGAACGCGCCGATAATGCACGCGCGAGAAAGTAACGGTGAACGTCGAACGGAGGAGACGACGGTGCCAAAGTCCGCGACAAGTCGGCGATCGATTCTCGAATCTCGGGAAAAGGTTTCGTTTGTCTCCGCGCGAGTCGAGCCGCGTCGCGTCGCGTCGCGACGAAACACCGTAGTTCTGTCGACCTTTTAAACTTTCAGAAAGTTTGCCGGCGCGGTCGTTAAGTCCGTTGCGCGGTCTCGGTGAAACGGTCGAAGAAAAGAAGGATGATGCGGCCAGAGCCCATTCAGGTCTTTCAGCGCGCAAACATAACGGTCCGTCCGAGTTACCGACTACGCTTCGAGGAAAACACCGGCCGCGTTCTCCCGTCGAACGGGTTCCACGGCGGGCACAGCTCGACGCGACGAGCTACCGTCCCTTTCGTCGTAACGGTCGACGACGACGGGTTCTTCTCGATACCACGGTTTCCCGATTTCCCAAGCCGTAACTGTCGTTCGAAACGTCCGAACGAAACGAAGCGAGGCGAACGCCGTCGAAGAAGTTGCGGGATCGCGACGGTCCAGCGCAGCGAAGCCTTGAAAGTAGCAGAGCTAACGGTCTGACCGAGTTGTCGAGCGATCGCGTCTCCGACCCCTCCGATGTTCGACCTTAAAGAGGGAATCCGTGTCCTTGGATCGTTTCGATTCGTCACCGTGCGAACCCAATTCTCCTTTCGAAACTATTCCCGGCGCAGCGTTACCGGCCATATTCGAGTACCGAGTACACTCGGTAAATTCTCCCTAACTCGGATTGTCTATAAAAATGGACAATTTTGGAAGAAGATCGTCGACGAATATAAAAACGAACCGCAAGGCTCGAATCTAGCAAATCGTATCTCCACTTTCCAAATTGTCCATTTTTGTGCGCGATCCGCGCGATCACCGTTCCCGATGCATTCGTCGCCGTTATCGCGCCTCCTCGAAATCGGCGCGACGTCACGAAGAAAGCGAAAACGTATCCGCGCGTTCCCAAAATGGGGTAAAAAGCGGTTCCGAGGGTCCCCCGCCGCGACGCGCCGTGGCGTAGCGGTTTTTTGCGCGACTCTTGCGCCGTCGATCCGCAAGCCGCAAAAACATCGCTCACCGTCCGCAACGAGGCAACGAATATCCAGAATCGAAAAAATGCGATGTCTGCGGTGTAAAAATGATTGACCAAAGGCACGGTGAAAGGTGAGTCTCGAGCGACTGTGTCGAGCAACCGACTCGAGCAACCGATTCGAGCGCCCCTCGATTTCCTCGTCCCCGTTTACGCGTCTACCTGTAAGGATTTTTCTTACCATCGGTCATCGAAATACCGGGCGCGGTGTCGCCGCGATTTCTTCCTAAATTACGGAATTTTTCTGTACGTGTTCGGCGCACGTTCTCCAACGAACGATTTCCAATCGTTCCATTTTCGTCCGACGATCGTCCGCAAACGCTTGCGTATAAAAATGTCCAAAGGAATCATCGTCGATAAGAGTTAAGAGATAAAATTTACCGTCCATTTCTCTGCATAATCTAAGCGTCGATTAGGGAGAATTTATTGTACACAGTTAAATATACAGTAAATTCTCCCTATTCTTCCTTCAGATTCCGCACTAAAATGGACAATTTGGGGAAGGGCGGACACGATTATTCGAGCCTTGCTGCTCGCTTTTATAGTTACCGATCGTCAACGACTATAAAAACGAGTCGAATAGTCGTATCTCCCCTTCCAAAATTGTCCATTTTTGTTTCCAAGCCGAGCTTTAATTAGGAAAAATTTACTGCATTCAGAAATGTTTTCCTATTGAAATGCTACGATAACCCTCTTCGTCTCGCTCTTTCTAAACATCAGATACGACAGCTGAAAACTAAAAACTTCGATATAAAATAACGCATAACAAATGCGTCTGGTCGCGTGCATACGACGATAACGGAAACTAAAGCGCGCGTCTCTGCGGTGATTTCAGATACGTTCCTAACGTCGGATCCTCCAGGCGATCAAATCTTCTTGGCCACGTTCCGCGTTACCGAGGGAGACTCGTTCACCTCGGAGCTGGCAGATCCCTCTACCGAAGCTTTCCGGATACGATCTCGAGAGTACCGGGATCGGTTGAATCTCGTGTTCCGTCGTAGCTGGTTGAAACTCTCGTTCCTCGCCGCGGAGATATTAGCGCTTGATGGGTAAGTGGGTTGGAATCTCCGAGCTCCGTCCGTCTTCCTCTCGGGAAAACGGAACCGATCTCGGCCGGAGAAATCGCGAGCCGAGACGAGGGAATCTCTCTAAAACGATTAGCCGTTTTCTAGAACCGAGGGCGGGGATCTGGTGGTGCACTTCGACGCGCGATTCGATCCGCGGTACCAGACAATCGCGACCGCCGACATCGTGGAGATTCTGTCACGTGAGATCGACCCGCAGACCGCCAAATACCTGGCGAACTTGACGATAGACCCGCAGAGCTTGGAGGTACAGGAGAGCATAAAAGCGTTGAACGCTCAGGTGAGCTCGCAGGCGACGGTCTCGACGCCGCCGTCGACGACCGCTGCGGCACCCCCGCCGAGAAGATGCAGCCCGGTCGATCTGTCCTATTGCAAGCATCTGCCGTACAACATCACCTCTTATCCGAACGCGTTGGGTCACGGCTCCTTGGCCGACGTGGAAGCGGACGTGATCGCCTTCAGGTATGCTCCCATCTCCTCGTTCTCTCGATCGATGCACGCCGAGGGTAATTCACCGGGTAATTTTCGCGTTATCGAACAGGGAACTGGTGGACGCCGAGTGCTACCGACTGGCCTACGACTTCGTCTGCCAAGTTCTTCAGCCGGCGTGCGTTTCGAGCCAGCCGGAGGACCTGCTCCAGCTACCCTGCAGAAGCTTCTGCCGGGAATTCTGGAGCGGCTGCGGCAGCCGACTACCCGACAGAATCAAACGGCTGCTGGACTGCTCGAATTTCCCGGAGTACGCGGACCAAGGAGGCTGCAGAGCGAAGCCAGGTGACCGTCCATATCATACCGACCCGCCCTAAGGGTCGCTGATCGGCCGAGAATCCGATTCGGCGTCGGCCTCTGGATGTCGATCGTATTCATTGAATTTTCTCGTAGGATGCGTGCAAGCGCTCCAAGAGAAAGCATTGTCCCCAAGAATATGCGACGGCGTGATCGACTGCCCTGACCTTTCCGACGAAAAGAACTGCGCTTATTGTCGCGACGGTTATATGCACTGCGGCGTAGGCAGGACGTGCATTCCGCACAGCAAGAGATGCGATGGTAAAGTGGACTGCGCGAACGGCAGCGACGAGAAGGACTGCCGTAAGTATCGTACAACGCGGCGGGAGGCCGCGGTTCGATCTCGATCATGATCTTTTCAAATCCCCGGGCGTGTATTGCGATCAGTGTCTCTGGCGCCGAGTATCCGAGCCGTGAAGTCTCAGCCCATGGACACGCCGTACGCCGCCAAGTACAACAGCGAGGGTTTCGTGGTGTTCAACGAGAAGGGCACCATCGGCAAGCTGTGCACCGCGAATCTGAACGCGACCCTGCCCGGAACGGAAATGGAAACCGTTCTTCAGACGGCGGCCAGCTCCCTCTGCACCTTGCTGACGTACACGTAAGCGTAGGGCAATGCAGCCGGTCACTCTGGCGAGACGAATTGCATTTGGTTTGTTTTCGGGAATAATTAATTTTGTACCAATCGAATAAGATATATTGAATTGTTTTATTAAAGAATTAACCAAATGAAAGAATAAGAAAATGTACAGTAATGTCTCTCTGATTGACGCTCAGATTGTTCACAAAAATGGACAATTTGGGAAGAGGAGATACGATTATTCGAGCCTTGCGGTTCGTTTTTATAGTTAGAATTGTCAAGGTTATGTCAAGGGTCGAATAATCGTATCTCCTCGTCCTGAATTGTCCATTTTTGTGCAGAATCGGAGCGTCAGTTAGGGAGACATTACTGTAATATGTCCCATTCGATAAATACGAAGTTAATCTTTCTATTCTTTTATTTCGTTCATTCCGTTTATTCTTGAGTAAAACAATTTAATATGTCTTATTCGATAAATATAAAGTCAATGTNAAGGGTCGCTGATCGGCCGAGAATCCGATTCGGCGTCGGCCTCTGGATGTCGATCGTATTCATTGAATTTTCTCGTAGGATGCGTGCAAGCGCTCCAAGAGAAAGCATTGTCCCCAAGAATATGCGACGGCGTGATCGACTGCCCTGACCTTTCCGACGAAAAGAACTGCGCTTATTGTCGCGACGGTTATATGCACTGCGGCGTAGGCAGGACGTGCATTCCGCACAGCAAGAGATGCGATGGTAAAGTGGACTGCGCGAACGGCAGCGACGAGAAGGACTGCCGTAAGTATCGTACAACGCGGCGGGAGGCCGCGGTTCGATCTCGATCATGATCTTTTCAAATCCCCGGGCGTGTATTGCGATCAGTGTCTCTGGCGCCGAGTATCCGAGCCGTGAAGTCTCAGCCCATGGACACGCCGTACGCCGCCAAGTACAACAGCGAGGGTTTCGTGGTGTTCAACGAGAAGGGCACCATCGGCAAGCTGTGCACCGCGAATCTGAACGCGACCCTGCCCGGAACGGAAATGGAAACCGTTCTTCAGACGGCGGCCAGCTCCCTCTGCACCTTGCTGACGTACACGTAAGCGTAGGGCAATGCAGCCGGTCACTCTGGCGAGACGAATTGCATTTGGTTTGTTTTCGGGAATAATTAATTTTGTACCAATCGAATAAGATATATTGAATTGTTTTATTAAAGAATTAACCAAATGAAAGAATAAGAAAATGTACAGTAATGTCTCTCTGATTGACGCTCAGATTGTTCACAAAAATGGACAATTTGGGAAGAGGAGATACGATTATTCGAGCCTTGCGGTTCGTTTTTATAGTTAGAATTGTCAAGGTTATGTCAAGGGTCGAATAATCGTATCTCCTCGTCCTGAATTGTCCATTTTTGTGCAGAATCGGAGCGTCAGTTAGGGAGACATTACTGTAATATGTCCCATTCGATAAATACGAAGTTAATCTTTCTATTCTTTTATTTCGTTCATTCCGTTTATTCTTGAGTAAAACAATTTAATATGTCTTATTCGATAAATATAAAGTCAATGTTTCTATTCTTTAATTCTCTTAATTCTTGAATGAAAAAATTTCGTATTTCTTATTCGATAAATACAAAGCTAATTGTGCCCGGAAACAAAAGCCAACCGAAGGCACAGCAATTGGTCCCCCCAGAGTGAGCGGCTCCAGTAGCCTCGTCTTTCAAGAGGAATCTGCTTGCAGCAGATCCTATATCGATCTTCTCTGCGCAGGGGTGTGAAATCCGTGGAGATCAGAATCGACGACGAGGAGGACGTCCAATACGTGCACATGGAGGACCCGTCTGCCACGGAGATCACGTTCGTGAGGGCACCCTGTCCGAGCAGGGAGGCGATGTACGTCCGGTGCACCGAATTAGGTACGAACAAGATTTTCGAATCGACTCCGACTCGCACGGAAGTAAGTTTTACGAGAAATGTTTGTATCCAGAGTGCGGCGTGCAATCGTTGCGCGCGAAGAGCGGCACGCGCGGCTTGAATAAAATGGCGGATCCGGGCGACTGGCCTTGGCACGTGGCCCTGTTCAAGGAAGAAGTGCACGTGTGCGACGCCACCCTTGTCGCGGAGAATTGGTTGATCACCACGGCGTCTTGTTTCCAAGGGTTAGTCTCGTCGGTTTGCTTTGCTTCCGGCGCCGTAAACGCAACGAAGTGACGTCGTAACGTCGCGCCATTTTAACGTTTCAGTCAATCGAAAGCGGAATGGTCCGCCAGAATGGGCACCGTTCGTCTCTCGAGCACGTCCCCGTGGCAACAGGAGCGCAGAATCGTGGGGATGATCAAGTCCCCGGTAGAAGGAAGCACCACGGTTCTCCTGAAACTGGACAGGCCCCTGACGACGTTCTCGGATTTCGTGAGACCCGTTTGCTTGCCGTCGAATCAAGATCCGCCGGCGAACGCGACCCTCTGCAACACTCTCGGCTGGGCCAGAAATCGTAAGGACTCTCCTCGATTCGGTCGATCCGCCAGTACGCGTAACGCGTGTACTCGTAACTACCAGATCTCGCAACCTCGAAGCCGCCTGCTATTCGTCTTACGACCTTACGGCGCGTTATATAAGAACGTAATTACGCGTATCGTTTACGCGTTGTTGCATCGACCTTAGAGGGATGCTAGATCGCGAGACGACTTACGCAATCGCCGGCGACGACAACTTTCTCGATCTCGAATCCCAACGAATATCCTTGGTGTTGGTGCGAATGTACACGTTGCAACGAACGAGCGCGTCGTCCTGGTAAAAGTACGATCTTTCGATGCGATACGATTCTCGTTAAGTCCACGATTACTTTCGATGGTCGTCTTTGATACGAGTAAATCGATCGAGTGTTTTAGTAACGCTTCCTTTTGCCAGAATACCACCGTTTTATTTATTTATTTATCAAATTTGTACGGGAAGTTCAAAACGGATATGTACAAGGTTCTGTCAAAAATAGTAAGATAACCGCAGTTCCTTAAATTACTATGTTATATTACTATGTCTATACAGACTATAGTAACATTGCGAAATTATTTCAAGTAATACGCCTTAAATTCCGTTCGAAAGAATGCGGGGGATGATTGAAAAATCGATGACTGAGCGGAGCCGCTGTTTAAATTAGTGAACGCACGATTGTTTTAACAAAGGTGTCGTTGTGTTATCAGGCGATCTGCTGCAGAGGGTGCAGCTTAGGCACAGCGCGATGGAAAGATGCGAGAACATCAGCATCGCGTCGGTGAACAGCGTCTGCACCGAGCCCGCCTATTCCACTGACGATTGCAACGTAAGTCTCGTTCGGGGATGCGCGTACGCCAATTAGTTGCGAATCAGACCGTACTGGACGTATCCACTTGCTTTCTGCTCGCAGGAGGAAGAGGTTGCCGGCAGTCCTATGCTGTGCCTTCGCTCGGACGACCGGAGATGGGCGTTGACCGGGGTCGGCAGTTGGCGCATCGCCTGCTCGAAAGCCGGCGTCGAAAGGCCGCGGCTCTACGACAAAGTTTCGTCGAATATCGCTTGGATAAGATCCACGATCGAGTGATTCCGCGGTCGAAAGTTCGACGAATCGGAGATCGAGCACGAAATCGAGAACCGCGGGCGGGTGCGTCTTTTGGAACGGTCGGTGTCGCGGAACGGAGAATCCGGCCGATCCGTTAGAAATGATCGGTCGGATTATGAAATGATCGGTCAGACGTGATCGTCGGTTCGATCCTGACGCGCCCGCACGCGGCTGTGAACTGTGAAACACGCGAGGAACGTTGTACATTGAACATTGAACATTGACGAGATCCTATATGAACTTCGACGCGCGCGAATCGTACCGTGTACGTACTGTGTATAATACATAGAATAATAGGAACAAGACGATACTCTGCCGGACTTACTTTCGTTTTACGAGAGCATAGCGTGTATATTTATATTTATATCGGATCGCGCCCTCGGCCGCACGTTCGCCGGCGTCCGCGACGAAATTAGCGACGTCGAATCAATCGACGCTCTATCCCGCTATCGAACATCCCGCCAAGCTTTGCAAGCTGGGGCCTTCTAGGAAGGTACACCGAATGCCGGCCCTGAGCTCGTGCTTCGATAGCCAATAGCACTGCTATTCAGCCGTTCGCACAGATCACGTGAACATCGCGCAAGCGTTCTCTTTGTAGTCACGGACTCGGCTCGCATTCGACGGAATATGTACAGCACTGCGCAGTGTCCGATAGGGACGACGGTGGGTGGGAGACCTCGGTAGAGACGCTAAATAAAAGCGCCGTAGTTTGCGTGCGAGCTGCGTTGTTTCAGCAGAATCGTTGGAGCGACTGGCACGGCGGAAAAACGGGACAGCGGATTCGGTCGATTCGGTGAAACCAAGAGAATGGTAAGAATATCGTTTAGATCCAGAGTTTTCCAATATTTTCCGGCTCGCGCAGCCACCTATTCCGAGACCGTGGCCGGCCGGTCATTGGTCGGGGCAGTTTCCATAAGGGGAAAGTCAAATTTTCGGCGCTCCCCGATTCCTTCCCGACTCTTCGGGAAGGGTGACTGCGTTCGCGTTGGGAAGCTGCGGCTATTGTGTTAGGCTGTTGCCACCGTGTCGCGATAAAAAAGATCTTGGCTGCAAACACGGTTACACAATCGGCAAACAACATTCCTTTCCCAAAATTGTCGAAATCCTCGCCGCGCCGATTAAACATTGTAGCTCATTTTTTCGATAGATAACGCTGGAACGTCGTTGTACAGCTTCACGAATAAAGTGGCACCAGGTGTTTTGTTTTCACATAATCGTTTCGATCGGCTTCACCGGGAACCGAACGAAGGTTCCTTCAACCTTTGCTGGACTGACTCAGGGGTTCGATCGGGATCATATTTACAAACGATAAAACGTTGTTAGACGTCACGAGTTTCACTCTTCCTTCGCCGTGTAAATAATTAAGTAGATAAAATAAATAATAAATAATTAAGTAGATAAAATAAAGCCAGGAAAATCTTCCGGCGAGACTACGAAGCTGTTAACTGCCACCACGTGAGCTAAAACAACACAGGGCATTTTTGTACGATCCGATTGGGCCCTGTGTCTGCCAGTACGACGCGCGATCACGGTGGTCGAAGGTGACGCGAAAGCAAAACAATGCTGAAGCACCATTCTCGTGTTCCCGATCGCGCTTGTCGCAATTTTAACGTATCTCGCTCGACGCAGTCTCGGTGCTAGAAGCATCGATCGAAGGTATCGATCATCAGCCGCGTCGATGCTGCGTCCGCTGCGAATGCTACGATCTTTACGATGCATAACTAAACCGGTTCCTGCACGGGAACCGTTCTCTACGAAGGGATCGCAGGGATCACAGGGATCGGATCTCTCGGACCTGGCAAAAATCGAGGGGATCACCGATCACCCGGTGGATCTCTTCAGGACCTGGCACGAGGAGGCCCGCAGATGCAACCCGCAAGCGCCAGACGCCTGCTGCTTGGCAACCACATCAGAGTCTGTGCACGATCATTTCGAACAACGATGCGACCGGTTCACGAGATATCTTTAACGCGAGAACCCTTCTTCCAGGGCCTGCGAGGTGTCCGCGAGGAACGTCGTGCTCCGAGAATTCGACAACGACGGCTTCGTGATCGTGACCGATCGTCGTAGCAAGAAGATCGACAATATAGTAAGTCGTCGGAACGCCCATTATTTCGAGCTATCCCAGCGTATTCGCGTAGATAATAATAATAATAATACTAATAATAATAAGTTTATTCATATATACGGGTAACACCCTTTGGTGCAAAAAGAGATTCTATATAGCCGTCGCAAAGTACAATAAAAATATATACACATATTTATAGTAATACAATACAAAAAGTGAGAAGGAAAAGTAAGATGTAGAAAATAAAATGATTGCGATATTATAGAACACATAACCAGTACCGTTGCTACATAAAAATACGAGAGAAAGATTAACCCCTTGCGCTATGTACTAAATTCGAATGCTATTCATCTTTTCCGAATCGAACAAAAAGATTGAATTTTTCTTGTAATAAAAGCCCAGGAAGAGGCGCTGATCAACGTGGCTGCGAAAAAAGCGTGGTGCAAGGGTTTAATAAAAAGAAAATAGAATTAAGTAGGAATTAGAATAAAAAATAAAATAGAATTAAATAGAATTAAGTTGACAAAAATAACGCAGCCCTGCGATTCTTGCAGGAGAAGGTCCCCCACGCCGCGATGTGTTATCTCTGGTGTTTCGTTAACGAGGAAGGACACAATATCGCGAAACAGGTGCGTAATGGACGCCGACGGATCGACGGATCCCCGATAACGAACTCACCGTCGCATCTGTGTGGTCGCGTAGGTCAGAGTCGAGGGGATCGTGAAGGAATTGGAGAAGATAGAATACCAGCCTTTGTACGACCGGGAGCCGCTCTATTGTAAAATTCGCTCGCATTTGTGCCATCAGGGGGTTGAAATTAGCTGGGACGAACAGAAGCAGCGACACGACGAGATACTGGATTCGGTCCGCAAAGGGGAGACTAATTTACCGATGCCGGACCATTTGTACGTGCTCTTGACCGGTTTAAGGTCGATTTGTATCATACGTTCAGGCGTGCGACGGACCCGCGACGCTACGTAGAATCTTTTCGTCGTGACGATGTTCGTCCTGAACCGAAACGTTCCGTAAACGTTCCGCGGGCCCGAACGGATGTTATAAATCGGCCCTCGAACGCGACACGCGTCTCGATCGAGCCTCCTTCATATCTAATCATGTTTCAGCGCCGGCTACAAGTTGTTCCCAACGATGATGGAGTTTTATTACGCGCGGGACTATCTGATAGGCGATCGGATCATTTACCGGAAGGCGAAATCGGACGACTCCTGGGAATACTATCGAATAGCCGCATAGCGGCTAGCACAGTTGCTCAACGTACACCGGATCGCCGTGTCACCCGCCTCTTCCTATCACCGTTGCCTTCGTTGATGTACCAAACAATAAATGAGAAACGCGCGAACGGCTGGTCCGCGGAACATTTGAAACTTGAAATTTGAATTTAAATGTCCGCGCAGCGAGATATGGCGCGCCTTCTCCATTGGCTCGTACGGGAAAGTCCGTCACGTCGAACCGGTATTCCCGCGCGACGTGCGCGCAGCGATCGCAGAAGAAACGGACACCTATCGGCTGGAACCGCGTTTCTCGTGTAAGCTTATATATTGTCGGTATTATTTATATATAATCGGTATTTCATACATTCTTTTTAACCGATAAATCGTGCTCGATACCTGTGGTCACAGAAACGTATACATGTGCCATCTGGTGGTCGAAAATATTTCTGATTTGCTTCGTCTAATCTCCGTTCGCACAACTGCAGCGCGACGATCAACTCCGTCGAGGTCAAATTTTGAGCCCAACCCTTATGGGGCGGCTCAGGAAAATACGGAAGGTAAGAAAATTGAACAATAGCGGTAGAAAGGAAAAAAACTGGAAGGGGAGAATAGCGACTAAACATCGTTGCCACATTTCATACCTTGCCGCACTGTTGCCGCTCGAGGAAAATATTGCATATATCTCAAGTTTAATAAAACATTTCTGCAACCGAAGCAACGCAGCTTAGACTTTTCGAAATCGAAATATCCAACTACCGAACTGCTCACTTGTAATGCAGATATACGAATGTCCTTTAATAGTAATAATAACGATAATGATAATAATAACGATAATAATAGTGATGATAATGATAATAAAAATGACAATAAAATAATACTGATAATAATAATAATTATGCTTATAGCAATCGATAATCTAATAAAAGTGGAAGACATAGTTTCCTGTTTGTCCCCCTCTTCGCCCTGCACGCCATCCTCGCCCTCCGACATCTTTTCTCCGACACCCGCTCTCTTTCCAAGGCCACAAATACTATCTTTTAATAATTTTTTCAATTCTCTCTGCAACGTAAAAGTATCTGTTATTATTACAATTTATTATTACACGCCAAAAGTATGTTTCATTTATTATTTTACATTTACTTACATTGGCAGCTACCAAGCCTACCCTTGACGGGTCGGCGTTCCCGCGGGCTGTTCCGCGCCTAAAATGTTTTTCCGCTGCGACTGTAACATAGAATTAGAAGCATATATATTTAAAAATACAAACTAATTTCTAATATAATTTTTAATACGAAAATTTGAATGTCCGTGCAGCGAGATACGGCGCGCAATCCGGTTGGCTCGTACGGGGACAAGCCCGTCGCCTCGAACCGGTATTTCCCGCGCGACGTGCGCGCAGCGATCGCGGAAGAAACGGACCGAGCTGAACGGACACCTATCGGCTGGAACCGCGTTTCTCGTGTCAGCATTCTCAGGCGTGCACGAATGGCTATTCAGCCTGCCGAATCCCCTACCAAACCGAACGGAACGTGCCTGTCCCCTGCTCGTTTACACCGCCGAAGCGTGTTCTCAACCCACGGAGCAGGAGGCGTAGCAGGCTCGAGCCGAGCAGAATCGAATCAGTGTACTGTCTGTCGGGTGAGAGCACGCTCGCATCGGAGACGACGGTCTTTGTGTTGATCGGCAGGATGACGCTCGAGCACGCGGCCACCGTCTGCGGAAACGCGAAAAGAGCCTTCCTCTTGCTCGAGGACGGATCCGTGTTCCCGGGAAAACATTTCGGCGCGGAAATATCGGTCGACGGCGAGGTCGGTGAGTATTCGATCAGCACGTGCTTTCCGTTTCCACTGCGCAACCAGTATGCGGATGCACGTGTTCGTCTTAGCGGGGATTCCGCTCCGTTTTTTTCCGGACGCGGCGGATCCCGCGGCCGCGGTTCGAACGATCGCGATTTATAAGGCCGATCCGTGTGCACGTGCGCGCGGATTGGAGCGACGTCGACGGGACGACGACGTTCCGAAACGTTTCGTAGCGTGCGAGATCAATCTGCAGACCGGCCACGTGGGTCGGCTCCGAGCTGATCGTCGCGTCACGCCTAACCGTGAACTTATTCGCTGTGATTGCCGTGTCACGGATTTGTTGACAGCCTCGTCTCTGTGCCGCTGTTATGCCTCTGCCACGTTGTATGCATGTGCGACGCGCGTACTTACCGGCCATCGCGCTTATCTGAATACCGCTGAGTCGGTCGCCGACAAACGGAATCGTTCGGTGTGTTATCTCGGCGCGCTCCGTTTCGTTGTTCCTCCGTTTGATAGTCGAGCACGATGTACAAACGCGTAACAAATTTCACAAATTGATCCGCGCGTTCGCTCCGCCGTTTCGAATCGTTCGGCCGGTCCGTCGCGAAACGCGCGGCAGAATGTTCACGCGCGTAATCGCGCGGCGACGATTCATTCGTTGCTCTCCAAATATCTGGTAATAGTTCCGAATTTCGAGCACGCAGCCGGCGTGCTGGATTCGAGCGAGATCTATTATCGTGACAGAGCTTGGAACCGCGAAACAAGTTTCGTGAAACGTTCGATAGACTCGTTTCTCGCCGCTCGATGTTTCTCTTTTATCTACGACTGGTCCATGTAGAGTTGCGGAGCCGGTTCCGCGGACCAATTGCTGTGCGCTTTCGGTTTCCTTTCGGGTATGGAGCACGTGATAAACCTTACTCAATGAATATAAAGTTCATTATACTCGATACAAGGACACGGCGATTGGTCATCTCAATCGACTTCGTTACCCTGCGATCTCTGTTTACAGTGCTCGATAAAAGAGTAAGGCGCTCGATGTATGAATGGGTTAGTGCGAAGGTAGATTAGAAGCAAAAGGAGTGCTGTTATTTACTAACTCGCGTACCCTTTACCGATCAAATTGATCGTTGACGCTAGATTTACGGAGCAGAAGAAACGGCTGTTTTATATTAGTTCATAAAAGTAACAATAAGACATTTATTCTGATTTTTAATAAGTGTTATTGTAAGTAACATTTGTAAGTAATATATAAATTGAATAAATAGCTTATAAATCTATCTTTACGATATGAATAGTCGTAAACTAAAAAATTAGTCACCCGTCATTTTGACGGGTTCCATAAATCTTGTGTTAAGAGAATGTACGGTTAAGTTAATTTATGGTAACTTTATTATCTGCTTCCGCTCGTCTTTCTAACATTCTGGCGTATGCAACTTACATTTTATAAAAGCAAAATTTTCGTAAATGGGACTTACGCCGCTACGGTCCCAACCCATTCCGTAATTTTTTATGAGATACAATGTCGAGAGTCTTGTTCCTCAGTCCAGCGGTGTACAGTAACGTCTCCCTAATTGACGCTCAGATTCTGCACAAAAATGGACAATTTGGGAAGAGTAGACACCATTATTCGAGCCTTGGAACTCGTTTTTATAGTTACCCATTGTCAACAATTATAAGAACGAGCTGCAATACTCGAATATCGTATCTACTCTTCCCAAATTGTCCACTTTTGTGGACAATCTGAGCGTCAATTGGGGAGACATTACTGTACTAACGGGACGAGTGACGTTCCAACGAACATTGTGTACACCAGGGGTGGCCAAAGCGTCGATCGCGTAACTATTCCTATTCGTCCGCCTATTCGTTCTATGTTCATTTTAAATTTAAATGTTTCGCTTTAAATTACCACTTTTCTTATGATCACTTAACACATACGATGTTGCAGACCAGCGTCTATAATTTAACCCTTTGCACTCGAGTGGTGACTCCGAGGCACTACTAAAACTAATACATCACGTTCCAAAATAATATTTATATTACCAAAGCTTAGATATAAAAAGATTGTCAAAAGTCTAACTGTTGTACGAGTCACAAGACTCAATTTCATATGCATGAAATAAACAAACTTTGTCATATAAAATGGAGAGATACTATAAGTCGGAAAAGTTAATTTAGATTTACAGTTAAAATGACTTCGAGTGCAATTTCATATGCATGAAATACACTTTGTCATATAAAATGGAAACACTATAAGTCGGAAAAGTTAATTCAGATTTACAGTTAAAATGGCTTCGAGCGCGAAGGGTTAATAAATCGGGTCGCCCATAAGGATCAAAAGTTTGGCCACCCCTGGTGTACACCATACGCCACACGGTATATACAGTACACGGTCTACATGTTATCCGTATCGACATCGTTGCATTTTTTTCCAGTCTTCCAGACCGGTATGATGGGTTACCCGGAGTCGCTCACAGATCCTTCCTACCACGCGCAAATCCTAGTGCTCACGTACCCGCTCGTCGGGAATTACGGCGTGTTTGGCAACGAGGTCGACGATCACAGGATCCCGCTGTAAAATCCCGCCTGATTTTCCCGCCGATCGCCACCGTCCCGAACTACAAAAGCTCTTTTTCAGCTGGTTCGAATCGCATCGGATCTGGGCGACCGCCCTCGTGGTCGGCGAGATCTGCGCGACCCCGAGCCATTGGCGGCAAACGAAAACGTTGTCCGAGTGGATGGTGGAACAAAACGTGCCCGGGATTTACGAGATCGACACCAGAGCCCTGACCAAGGTTATCCGCGAGAAGGGCACGATATTGGGCAAGATTGTCTTCGACGCGCCGCCCTCGAATCTCACGGCACCTCTCTGTATACCAGATCCCAACAAGAGAAATCTCGTGGCGGAAGTTGCTCAGGTGCGGTATCCCGAAATCGATCGCTCTGCGAAACGTGGCGGCAACGCGATCTCGCCGAACGGGTCCAATTTTTTTCATTTATTCGTAGACGGGAATAACCTTATTGGTTTACGTGTGTTAGGTCGAGTCACGAACGATTTCCGCTTTTTAACAGACATTTATTTTGTTTCTGTTCATTTATTGTATTTTTCTTTTCAGTTTGTTCAGTTTGTCGAATAGGTCAATTTTTTAATTATTGGCAAAAATAGAGACGCGATTTGTTGGCTCCGGAACGCCAAAACGCGACTTAAAGCAGACTGGTAGAATAAACGTGTAGACCCGAAAGATCTTGTTGGCACATCGAGATCGATAGCTTAGGACAGTTAAAGAGTAGGGCAATTAATTTGGCCATTTAAGATCTTACAGAGAAATGACAGATCAACAGTCGCTCTTCTGGATGTTAAAGGCGCAAGATTGAACTCGCACACGATTCGATCATGGTCCAAAGTATCATATTTAAAAAACGCAAATTTCAAGAAGCTGTGCTGCATCCTCTCGGCAGACTGTTTATGCTTAATCAAGTGTGGAGACATTCAAGATCGGATCTAACAAGGGTGCAGTACAGCATCCTTAGCTATAAAAAAAATATCTTTTTATATAAAAAGGAACGGTAAAGAATGATGAAAAAAATTGTTTCAGTCCGAGAAGAGAACGTATAATCCGGGCGGTCATCCTCGCGTGTGCGTGGTCGACTGCGGACTCAAGTACAATCAATTGAGATGTTTGATCCGACGAGGAGCACGCGTAGACGTCGTTCCATGGAATTACGACTTTACCAAAGCGGAGTACGACGGTCTGTTCCTCAGCAACGGGCCCGGCGACCCGAACACTTGCGACGTAACGATCAAGAACCTCCGATCGGTTCTCCAGTCGCGGACGACGAAACCGATTTTCGGCATATGCCTGGGCCATCAGTTGCTCTGCATCGCCGCCGGTTGCGTCACGTACAAGATGAAGTACGTATCCCTATCCAGACCTGGCCAGATTTTATTTGAAAGAAAAATCAAAAATAGCTGCTCGAATGAATTAATTTTAGATTGTCACTTTCAGTCGTCGTCATTTGATTTTAGGCCGTTATTTGAAAATATATATAAAATCGATTCATTTGAGATGATGCAATTTCAAAGAACGAATTACAGTAATGTCTCCCTAACTGACGCTCAGATTGTGCAGAAAGACGGACAATCTGAGCGTCAATTAGGGAGACATTACTGTATTTCGTTATTTCTTCATTTCAAACAGGCTAGAAGACATAATGCTGAAGTGAATAATGAGCGGAACGATTTCATTTTACGAAATCTTCGCGACAGATTGTTTAAAGAAAAGTATGAACCAGCCCATAAACATTGAAAACTAATTTCACCTGATTATAAAACACGATAACGTGTTCTCTGAGATGATATTTCAAATAACGTCGTCCCGGTCTGTCGCTCAGAACTGCCCCTTTCCTCTACCCACTTAGCAGTCTCCCATTTACCCCGAGACAGATCGCCGATTACGATTGATAAATAAAACGTTGCATACGTTCGTGTACAGTTACGGGAATCGTGGACACAATCAGCCGGTCACGCACCACGGCACCGGCCGCTGTTACATGACGTCGCAGAACCACGGTTTCGCCGTCGACGCCACTAAGTTACCAGAATTTTGGGAACCGCTGTTCACAAACGCCAACGACCAGAGCAACGAAGGCGTCCTGCACACGACACTGCCGTACTTCTCGGTGCAGTTCCACCCGGAGCACGTCGCCGGCCCCGAAGACTTGGAATGCTTGTTCGACGTGTTCCTGGACGCGATGAAGTGCGAGATCGGCGGCGACGCGTCGTCCAACAACGAGCGATTATCCATCAAGGAGAAATTGACGGAGAAGTTGAGCTACCGTCCACCGGCTCCCATCGCCTCGGCGCGCCCGAAGAAGGTGCTGATCCTCGGCTCGGGCGGTCTGAGCATAGGCCAAGCCGGCGAGTTCGATTACTCCGGCTCGCAGGCGATCAAAGCGCTGCGAGAGGAACGCGTGCAGACGCTTCTGATCAATCCGAACATCGCGACCGTGCAGACGTCGAAAGGCATGGCGGATAAAGTGTACTTCCTTCCGATCACGCCCGAGTACGTGGAGCAGGTGAGAGCGAGCGAGACCGCCGCGGTTCGAGCGATCCGCGCGATCGCGATCCAACTCGCGAGCGATCGGTTGATCGAACGGTCGATTCTCTTGATTGCAGGTGATACGATCCGAGAGGCCGGACGGCGTGCTCTTAACATTCGGCGGGCAGACTGCGCTCAACTGCGGCGTCGAACTCGATAAGAACGGGGTCTTCGCAAACTATAACGTGAAGGTCTTGGGAACGCCTATACAGCCTATCATAGAGACGGAGGACAGGAAGATATTTGCCCAACGCATCAGCGAAATCGGCGAGAAAGTCGCGCCGAGCGCCGCGGTCTGTTCGATTCAAGAGGTGAGACTGTTTTGAGATCGACTTCGACGTTCGTAAAGAATAAAGCGACGTTTTTACGTTCTATCATGAATTCCATACGTTCGTTTATTTCTTTATAAACATGCGCATACCGAACGATCATGTTTACAACGAAAGCATGACTTACGACGAATATCGGAGAATCAGTGAATCAAGGTTTAGAAAGTCCTGTTCGAAATGTGGTAACATTGAATAAAAATATGTCGATGTTATCGCTTTATGGACTTCGCTGATAACAACGTCCTTCCTGGACGGCCAGAGCGAAGTTGAAAGAGTTATTGTGTAATAATTATTAATACGAAATGTTATCGAAGAATTATATCGTACAATCAAACGTTGTGTCGCTTTTATTTTATATAAAATTCCTTGTAATCGCGTTTCGCAGGCGTTGGAGGCTGCCGAGAAGCTGGGCTACCCGGTCATGGCCAGAGCGGCGTTCTCTCTGGGCGGACTGGGCTCCGGATTCGCGAACACCAAAGAAGAGCTGAAGATACTGGCGCAGCACGCGTTCGCCCACTCGAATCAGTTGATCGTCGACAAATCGCTGAAAGGGTGGAAGGAAGTCGAGTACGAGGTTGTACGCGACGCGTACGACAACTGCATCACCGTCTGCAACATGGAGAACGTGGATCCTCTCGGGATCCATACCGGGGAATCGATAGTGGTCGCACCGAGCCAGACCTTGTCCAACAAGGAGTACAACATGCTCCGAACGACGGCGATCAACGTGATCAGGCAGTTCGGCATCGTCGGCGAGTGCAACATTCAGTACGCGCTGAATCCGAACTCCGAGGAGTATTACATCATCGAGGTGAACGCCAGGTTGTCACGGAGTTCGGCGCTGGCGAGCAAAGCGACCGGCTATCCGCTCGCTTACGTCGCCGCCAAACTGGCCCTGGGCATCCCGTTGCCGGAGATCCACAACTCCGTCACGGGCAAAACCACCGCCTGCTTCGAGCCGAGTCTCGACTACTGCGTCGTCAAGATACCGCGATGGGACCTGGGCAAATTTCACCGAGTTAGCACCAAGGTGCGCCGACGACCGTTCTACAGTGACCCGCATTAACAGTCCTTGAAACATCAGCAAGAATCATCTCGTTCAATTTTGAGAAAAGTTATTCCGTTTCAAAAGCTGTCCGAAGAATATTTCTATCATCTTCGTCTTGTGTTCTCTTTTATTGTATTCACATTTACGTCTGTCCTGCTCGCTTATTATCATTATTCTTGTTCCTTCTATATTCTTCTAGCTTTTTTATAATTACAGATAAATGCTGTCATTATTATTAATATTAATGCGAGTCACTGTACGTACAATGTCGCGAAACACATAATTTCGATCGGAGACACGAGACCGACACGGGTTGCTTTCAGATCGGCAGCTCGATGAAGAGCGTGGGAGAGGCGATGGCTATCGGCCGGAAGTTCGAGGAAGCCTTCCAGAAAGCTTTGCGAATGGTCGACGAGACCATCAACGGCTTCGACCCGTACCTGAAGACACCGAACAAAGAGGAGCTGGAGAAGCCGACCGACAAGAGGATGTTCGTGCTGGCCGCCTCCATAAAAGCCGGCTACACGATCGACCAGTTGTACGAGCTGACGAAGATCGACCGGTGGTTCCTCCACAAGATGAAGAACATCATCGACTACTACTTGGTCTTGGAGAACGTGGACCACACGAAGCTGTCGCACGACGTGCTGCTGCGCGCGAAGCAGATCGGCTTCTCGGACAAGCAGATCGCCGCCGTGGTCAAGAGCTCGGAGCTAGCGGTTCGGATACAACGGCAGGAGGGCAATATTCGGCCGATGGTGAAGCAGATAGACACGGTGGCGGCCGAGTGGCCGGCTACCACGAATTATCTTTATCTGACGTACAACGGGACCGCGCACGACGTCGATTTTCCCGGCGGTTACACGATGGTGATCGGTAAGCGAGATCGGACGGGATTGCCGTTAGACTGCGTCGACGTTGGTCTTCGATTGTAGACGACTCGTTTGTCCCGCAGGTTCCGGAGTGTATCGAATCGGTAGCTCGGTAGAGTTCGATTGGTGCGCGGTCAGCTGTCTGCGCGAGCTGCGTAAACTCGGCAAGAAAACGATCATGGTCAACTATAATCCGGAGACGGTCAGCACCGACTACGACATGAGCGATCGCTTGTACTTCGAGGAGATATCGTTCGAGGTCGTGATGGACATTTACGACCGCGAGTGCCCCGAGGGAATTATTCTGTCGATGGGCGGCCAGCTGCCGAACAACATCGCCATGGATCTTCACAGGCAGCAGGCTAGAATCCTTGGCACCTCCCCCGAGTCCGTGGACGGCGCCGAAAATCGGTTCAAGTTCTCCCGCATGCTGGACGGCATTGGTATATCGCAGCCTAGGTGAGTGATCGCCGTCGCGACGAAACTCGAGGAACACGATTTAATCTGATCTAATTTGATTTAATTTAATTTAATTTAATTTATTCATATAAATGGAAAAAATATCCATTTTCACAATAACAGAAGCAGAAACGTGCCTTATTTCGAATGGCGGAGAATCGGTAAATTAGACGAATCAATTTATAAAGAGCTGTTTCAAATTTTGTAACATTTTCCGCGAATATTTTTGCAGCTTTCGTCAACGACTTGAAATATCCTGTGAAAACGATCTAAATCTAAATCTAAACAATAATATTGACTCGAAGTATATTCGAGTATCGCACGCGTAATTCTAAACTATAAATATAAAATAACGAACGTCGTCGATCAGATGGAAGGAACTGACCAATCTGCCGTCCGCCATCGAGTTCTGCGACGAGGTCGGCTATCCGTGCCTGGTGCGGCCGTCCTACGTGCTGAGCGGAGCCGCGATGAACGTGGCCCATTCGAACAACGACCTGGAGTCGTACCTGAAGAACGCGAGCGAGGTAAACAAGGAGCATCCTGTGGTTATATCGAAGTTTATCCTCGAGGCGAAGGAGATAGACGTCGACGCGATCGCCTACGAAGGGGTGATCCTTTGCATGGCCGTGTCGGAGCACGTGGAGAACGCTGGAGTGCATTCCGGAGATGCAACCCTTGTCACTCCGCCGCAAGATATCAACGCCGAGACGCTGACCAAGATCAAAATGATATCGAAAGCGGTGGCCGCGTCGCTCTGCGTCACCGGTCCCTTTAACATGCAACTGATCGCCAAGGTAATTATCTGCGCGATCTATACGATCCATGCGATTTATGCGACGCCGATGGTTTCGAGAGACCGCTCGGATATCACGCTTTTCACCTTCGCGAAGGAACTCGTTAGAATTCATAGGTACTTCGATTAGAAACCTTATCTGCAGGTACTCGGTTCGGAATCATAGTAATTCACTCATTAGGAGACCGGTCTTTAAGACATGAATGGAATTCCATAGAGAATTAAAGTCAAATGTCCCCTAACCAATTAAAATCTCTAACCCGCTCTGCTTGATACAGCTATGCTGATTCTGGTTTGACCTTTCATCCTGTAATTTAATATCTTGTCTTGATGTCCTCTCTTCGCTTTCGCAAGAAAATCTTGCGCGCATTTCTTTATGAATTGGCTTTTCTCGACAATTGTATCCCTCTTCCAGACTCGCGTCCACTCCCCTATTTAACGCAAGTAATCCTACTGCTGAAAACAACTCGACGAACCAATATAAAAAAGAACCATCTTTTTACAGGACAACGAGCTCAAAGTGATCGAATGCAACGTTCGAGTGTCGAGGTCGTTCCCCTTCGTCTCGAAGACTCTTGATCACGACTTCGTGGCAATGGCCACGCGATTGATAGTCGGCGAGCACGTCGATCCCGTGGACGTTCTCGCAGGATGCGGCAAAGTCGGCGTCAAAGTGCCTCAGTTCTCTTTCTCCAGACTGGCCGGTAAGAACTGCTTTCGCACCGAGCTCTAATCGATCGGGAATACAGTAATCCGTAATTGTCCTTCAGCTTTCACAATTACTTTTACAATTACATCTGCAATCGGTAACTATAAAAGTGAGCCTCGAGGCTCTAATGATCTAATCTCCTCCTCCTAAATTGTCCATTTGCGTTTACAAGCTGAAGGAAAATTTGTTTTACTGTATTAATAATTATTATAATATAACTTATAATATAATATATAATAATTATTATAATATAACTTATAATATAATATATAATAATTATTATAATATAACTTATAATATAATATATAATAAATTATTATAATATAACTTATAATATAATATATAATAAATTATTATAATATAATATATAATATAATAATTATTAACTGTGAAATTAACTGTAAAATTATTTACTGTACACCTTCTAATCGTAACATATTAACGTTACAGGCGCCGACGTGATGCTGGGTGTCGAGATGGTGTCTACGGGAGAGGTAGCCTGTTTCGGCGACAATCGGTACGAGGCATATCTGAAAGGAATGATGAGCACCGGCTTTCATATACCGCGGAAAGGGATCTTGCTGTCGATAGGAAGCTTCAAGGTAACGGCGAGCAGCCCCCGATTTACACGTCTCACCGTTCGNTAATAATTATTATAATATAACTTATAATATAATATATAATAATTATTATAATATAACTTATAATATAATATATAATAATTATTATAATATAACTTATAATATAATATATAATAATTATTATAATATAACTTATAATATAATATATAATAATTATTATAATATAACTTATAATATAATATATAATAATTATTATAATATAACTTATAATATAATATATAATAATTATTATAATATAACTTATAATATAATATATAATAATTATTATAATATAACTTATAATATAATATATAATAATTATTATAATATAACTTATAATATAATATATAATAATTATTATAATATAACTTATAATATAATATATAATAATTATTATAATATAACTTATAATATAATATATAATAATTATTATAATATAACTTATAATATAATATATAATAATTATTATAATATAACTTATAATATAATATATAATAATTATTATAATATAACTTATAATATAATATATAATAATTATTATAATATAACTTATAATATAATATATAATAATTATTATAATATAACTTATAATATAATATATAATAAATTATTATAATATAACTTATAATATAATATATAATAAATTATTATAATATAATATATAATATAATAATTATTAACTGTGAAATTAACTGTAAAATTATTTACTGTACACCTTCTAATCGTAACATATTAACGTTACAGGCGCCGACGTGATGCTGGGTGTCGAGATGGTGTCTACGGGAGAGGTAGCCTGTTTCGGCGACAATCGGTACGAGGCATATCTGAAAGGAATGATGAGCACCGGCTTTCATATACCGCGGAAAGGGATCTTGCTGTCGATAGGAAGCTTCAAGGTAACGGCGAGCAGCCCCCGATTTACACGTCTCACCGTTCGAGAACGTCGCGGAATGTTCGAAGAACGATCACTGTGAATCGTTCGCGTTTCGTTGCAGCACAAAATGGAGTTGCTGCCGTCTATCTACAGCCTGCGCAAGATGGGATACAAGCTGTACGCCAGCATGGGGACCGCGGACTTCTACACCGAGCACGGAGTCGAGGTAAGCCCCGGGAACAGTCGATGGGAGACTCGTCGTCTATCCTTACAAACGTAATCTATATTTAAACACACATTTGTCTGTACATGGATGATCGCGTGTTACAAACGAATGAATTGTCTGTGCTTTCGAACGGGTGACACGCTCTCCGCTGGAGAACTCCGCGGAATAACGAAACGCGTTCAGTCTTTCACGAGTATAATTCGGATTTATTGGCGGGATAAATCGAGCTGGTCGGACAGGAAAACTCTACGCCGTGACGCGTCGATAACGACGGAGAGATTTCGGTCGTCGATACGCTCATACGTTCGATGACGCTGCGGCATTATCCAGAAACTTGACACGGTGGATGGTGTCGTCGCTCGTTTCGCCGGTCGGCAAGGTTCGATTCGTCTTGTTCTTTGGATCGATCGCAGCCCGCAGTTTCGATTTGCCGTAACGCGTCTCGTGGACCACGGCCGCGGTGGTGTTTCCAGCATCGTTTTCCGTTCCCGACGACGACGTCGCCGCGTCGCGAGCCTCGGGATCCCGCGAGAATCGGCTCTTCAACGGCGCCACGAACGCCGCGGCTTCCTGATTTCTCATGGGCGTTTCGGGCGGATCGTCCGCCTGAGATTGTGACCGGGCCGCCTTCTTGCGAAGAACGTTGATCTTGTCCCGATGGTTCCTAGCGTTGTTTCTGTACCGTTGATGCTCGAAGAGCAGCGAGGACAGTCGTCCCGCGTGATCGAGATACAGGGTTTTCTGGTCAACAGCTCCGTACTGATTGCATCTCTCGGCCATTTTAATGAAATGTTCTATAAAGAAATCTAGCAGAGCGCACAACCTCGGACCTTCCAGCTCGGCACAGCGTATCTAAAAATTGCGACAACCACTTGCTAGAGTATCGAGTAGATAAGATTAAAGCAGCGATAAATGAAGAGAGAAGGAACAGAGACTTATTAGAGAGATTTATTATACAGTTTCAGCCCCCGAACTACCCTGTCTTGAAGTTGTACGGGAACACATCTCAAAGTTCGTCCGTACTTTACCTTTGAAATCTTGTAAACCCCGTGATATGCCAGAGATTGATTGCTTTCAATTTCTCGAAACTATCTCGTCGTTCTATTGCAATCTAATCTATCCTGTCTTAAAGTAGACACTTCTAGCTTTTATTTAATCAAGGCCGCGTAGAAATCGCACCATGAGAACGCGTCTCAAAAAATTATCCGAATTGTAACTTTTAAATCTTGTAAATCCCATGATATGTCAGAGGTTCATTCCTTTCAATTTTTTAAAACTATCTCGTCGTTCTATTGCAATCTAATCTAGCTTGTCTTAAAGTAGACACTTCCAGCTTTCATTTAATCAAGGCAGCGTAGAAATCGCACCACGAGAACGCGTCTCAAAAAATTCACTTGAACTGTTCCTTTTAAATCTTGTAAACTCCGTGATATGCCAGAGATCGATTCCTTTTAATTTTTCGAAACTATCTCGTCGTTCTATTGCAATCTAATCTACCCTGTCTTAAAGCCGACACTTCCTGCTTTCATTTAATCAAGGTCGCATAGAAATAGTCCTACGGGAACGTATCTTGAAATCCATCTGAACTTTTCCTTTGAAATCTTGCAAACCCCATGTTATGTCAGAGGTCGATTCTTTCGAATTTTTCAAAACGATCTCGTCGTTCCATTGCAATCTAATCTACCCTGCCTTAAAGTAGACACTTCCGGCTTTCATTCAAGCCTAGTTGCATTGAAATAGTCTCGCGAGAATACATCCCAAAAAATTCATCCGAACTGTACCTTTTAAATCTTGCAAAACCCATGATACATCACAGGTCGATTCCTTTGAATTTTTCTAAATGATCTCGTCATTCTGTTGCAACCTAATCCACCCTGCCTTAAAGTAGAAACTTCCAGCTTTCATTTAAGCCCCACGAAAACATATCCCAAAAAATTCATCCGAACTATCGCTTCGAATTCGTGCAACTTTCCTTATTTTCCGCGCAACCTCGTATGTACATTTATTCGTCGAGGGAGCAAGGAACGCGAGATTAAATCGTAAAGAAAGAGCGAAACGGCTTACCGAGATTTCGATGATAGCATCCGGTGCTTTGCGCGGGTTGATCAAGGTCTTGTTCGTGACCACCTTGGTGATGACCGGTTTCGGTTCTCGATCCCTGGCGGTCTGCCAGAATTCGTTCGTGACGTATTTCTGATCGTCCTTGTGACGTTGTTGTGTCGGCGCCGACTTCATCACCTGCAACGCCAGCGCCGGATTCATCACGGTCAACTCGTTCCCGGTCAATATGTTCAGCAGCTTGTTGAAGTCCAGCCGCGGATAAAAGTCCTTGTCGAACCGGATGTTCTCCATCGCGTGGAAAACGTACATGACCGGGTTCTCGATGATGCGTTTCAGTTGTTTCTGCGAGTACAACAGGTGGTCGCACGGTATCCGTTGAAGGAGATTCCTGCCCCTGACGAAGTAGTCCCTGAGGATCGGCTCGTACTGGCTCATCCCGTGGTAGACGGTGTCGAGAAACGTGACCAGACCGTCGCCCGTTCTGGTGAACGACCATCTCGACGGGTTGGCCATCTCCTCCATCAGCCAGAAGAACTTGTGCCTGATGTGCGCGGTGGTCAGGCCGTCCATGGTGTCCAGAACGGGCCGGATGAAGGTCTTGTGCAGCAAAAGCGCGATCAGATACACTTGGACTTGGGCGTGCGTCATGCAGGTCTCGAGATATCGTTCCGCGGTCGGGAACGTGAGCTGCCACTCGAGATCGTCCCCGAGATTTTGCTTGTTCCGTTTCTCCGACACCACGTAACCCTCCGGGACGACGTAGCACCCGGACAGCTTGATCGTCTCGATGTCGTTGGGATCGGGCCAAGTGTTCCGCGGCCGATCCAGCCATTCGAGCGCGCAGGTCGGCCACTGCATCCACATCGCGGGCATGATCTCGTACTGCTCGACGCGGCTCTGCTTCAACTGCTTCGAGACCATCACTTTGTCGCAGTGGATCACGCAACCCTCCCGCCGGATGTCGTCCACCGATTCCTTGTCGAAGCCCAGACAGTCGGCCAGCCGATGCGTGAACATTTTCGTGAAGTGCAGCATGAACTCGGCGCTGCTCGCGAAAAACAGATCGTAGTTGTGCCGCTTCATCGCCTCCCTCAGTCTCCGTTCCTTGCTGTTCGCCGTACGCTTCTTCTCCGTCTCTTTGTCGTACAGCTTCCCGTCCGCCATGAACGTCACCTGTTTGAAGCAGCTCCTCGGCAGGACCGCTTTCTTTATCCAACTTTCGTCTATGCCCTCGTCGGTCGAACTCTGCTCGAGCCTCTGGCTCGACTTCAGGCTCGACTTCTGGCTACGATTGCCGCTGCTGTCGCTGGTCATCGCGTAATTGTCCGAACGGTAGCCGGAGCTCAGGCTGCTCGTGTGACTTTGATTCACGGCCCCTTTCGCACGCGGCGTCTGTTTATCCGAGCGGTGGTGACCTTTCGCCGAACCCTGCGCCGGATACCTTTGCTTCTCGAACGAGGAGGAACCGTTCTCGCCGCTGGAATCGGTCGTGCTCCGCAAGTTGTGATTCGATCGGCTCGCTTCGCCACCGTTTTTGTACAAATTCTCCTCTTCCGTCCGATCCTCCTCCTCCTCCTCCTCCTCCTCTTGCTCGTCCAAAGGCAGGTTAGGCATAGATCTCGCGAACCGTTCTCTGACACCCCTCGAATCCTTCTGTCTCCCTTGTTTCGACCTTCGAAGCACAGCCACGTCCGCGGGCGGCTTCATGCAGTAAATGCTGTCGCTGTCGCTCCCGAACTCGTCGTCGTTCTCCGCGATCGACGACAGATCTTCCTCTCTCCTTTTGTTCGCCGCCTTGCCGAGTTCCTCGATCAGCTGCAGCTGAATGTAGCCTGGCGACAGAGAAAACGATTCGTTCGAAATAATCTCGCTGGTGCTCGTTACAGACGGAATGTCCCAAGAATGTCTCCTAATCCGGAAATGAAAGGTTTCCGAGGTCGCGCGAAGTGACTTTTATCCTTGGCGGAAATGCGATCCGCGACTTTGTTTACGAGTTATCAACGAACAAACTGCGACCAATGAGAGAGGCGAGATCAGCCGGCGCGAGACGGCCAAGCTGATCGGCGGAACTGGGATAATTACGGGACACCCTGTACAGTAATGTCTCCCTTACTGACGCTCAGAAGATCCACTAAATTGGATCATTCAATTAGGGAGACGTTACTGTACAGTAAATCTTCCCCAATCGATGTTACCCTAATTGGTGTCCAGCTTGTATACAAAAATGGACAATTTGGGGAGAGGAGACACGATTATTACGATCCAGCGTTCTCGGTCCGTGAAATTCCTACCGTTTTAGGAAACCTAATTAGCGGTATAATTACGGCGATCTACAGTATGATCTAGACACGCTCGCCACCATGAATATTTTGAAAAAACCACATTAGCTGTAATAAATAGTTTTCTTCGGCATGAAAACGATGCCAAAAGAATCCTCGGAATAATTTATATGGGATTCTAAAGAAATTGAATTCTTCGTGCTTTAAGCTCGCGTTGCTTTCGTCAAAGCGATAACGAAACAGAGCATAGGGATGCGATCGAATTATCCGGTCTATCCGAGATTCTCCCCAATTGTCGCTCAGCTTGTACAGTAAAGTCTCCCTAATCGACGCTCATATTGTGCAGAAAAATGGACAATTTGGGAAGAAGAGATACGATTGTTCGAGCCTTGCGGCTCGCGTTTATAATCGTCGATTGCCATCGACTATAAAAATGAGGCGCATGCCTCGTACAATCGACAAATCTAAGCGACAATTCTGGAGAATTTGTTGTAAACATCCGCGTATCGATCGACCCGCGTAAATCGAGACGGCTCGATACCGGATCTACGCTGCTTCTGGCATTTTGCAATCTCGTTTCTTTCTTTCTTTAAAGAAAGAGAGATCCCTCCCGTTTTATTCGGAGATCAGGCGTGCGCAATTCTCCGAGAAAAATGGACAATTTGGGAAGAAGAAATACGATTATTCGAGCCTTGCGGCTCATAATTGTGGACAATTTATAACTATCAGAATAAACCGCAAGGCTCGAATAATCGTATCTCCTATTCCCAAATTGTCCATTTTTGCGCGCAATCTGGGCGTCAATTGGAGAGACATTACTGTACATCGAACTCGATCGCATCCCCAAGCGAGCCCTTTGTCGTCCTATTACCATCGTGCTTCGTGGTCTGCAACAGTACATTGTACATGGCCGAGTCGTTCATGTTGCTGTAATGCGACTGCAAGTTCTCCTCCGTGATCTCCACGTTGTCGTACACCGTGTAGATCCGCACAGGTTGAAGCGGCTCGGTGGTAGGTCGTACCGTCTGCCTGGTCGACGTGAATCTGACGTTTGTCGCGACGTGCTCCTGCAGAACGTCCGGCAGAAGGGCGCGTTTCTGCGGCGGCAGGCCTTTGTTCACTTTCGTCTCGCGCGACGACACCAGCGTTTCCTTCATGTTCTCGATCTCCCTGCAAAACCGAAACGATTCGTAACCAGGCCCGGCCTCGATCCGCGCCGCGCGCGCGCGCGCCTCGTTACACCGCGAAGCGGAATTATATGTTTTTTTTCGATCTATTACAGCTACGGACCTAGATTAGATTACGATTAAATTAGACCGCTATCGGTATCGGCGCTCCGCGCGTTACGACACGGAGATTTGTTCCCGTTCTCGCGCACCGGAAGACCAGCACGACGAAACGCGCCCACGAGAAAATCGTGGTGGTGGCCACCACGGTAACGGACGCAGGATCGGGCGCACGCGGGCACACTGATACGAATTTAAACGAGATCGTCTCGTGGGCATCCTTACTCTTCGTAATTCTTGAAGAACTGGACGCACATCATCAGATTGTTCAGCACGAAGCTCTCCGGATAGTTCTGGATCATCTTCCTGAGCCGCAGAAGCTCGACGTCCTCGTACTCGCTCTCCTGCAAGCCCGTCCTGTCGACGGTAGCACGCTTGTTGCCGCTCTTTCTCCATCGCGAACCGTTCTCGCTCTTCGACTTTGCGCTTCCCATCTCGGCACGCTCTCCACGTCGTAACCCGTTCGCGGGTCACGCGTCCAGTCTCGCAGGTCGCAGCACCACCGCCGTACGAACAAGATCAAATTGGTTTGCACGACCGCCTCGAGGATAACCGATCGCCCGCGAACATGTTCGCGCAAGCACCGAAACGACTGATGCGCCCTCGCCGCTCGTCGACAACACAGTAATCCAGTTTCAGGGCACCGCGGCGACTGATAAAACACCTACCACCTATCTCATTATCGAGCTAGAAGGCAGCGCACGGGTTTTAATCGGTGCTACGATATCGGCTATCTACAAATAAACCGGCCATGAGAAATTCTTCTGTCGCGCGATCGGTTATCCAGCGTCACGGTCGAGGCGCGACCTCTGAGGGCCGAGAACTCTCCGACTTCGTTCTCGACGATGCTCCGCCACGTGGGCGGACAGCCACGGCAATATCTCCCCAATTGTCAGCCAGATTGTGCAGAAAAATGGACAATCTGGGAAGAGGAGATACGAGATTGTTCGAGCCTTGCGGCTTGCGTTTTTATAATCGATGACGATCGGTAACTATAAAAGCTAACTGCAAGGCACGAATAATCGTATCTCCTCTTCCCAAATTGTCTATTTCTATGGACAATCGAAGCGTCGATTAGAGAGACATTACTGTGTATTCGAACAATTGGGAGAACTCTCTCGATAGTAGTTTAGGGCGCAGAGAGACAAACAAAGGCACTGAACGCAGAGTTTTTGGTCCAAGGTTAGATCCAATCGCGAGAATATTTTTATCGATCTTATTATTTTTGTTCACAGAAACAATTATATTATATTACAATTTAACCACAGATACGTAGATACGTGCACACGCATCGTCGCACTGTGTCAAAATGACCGACATCGTTTCCTTTCGAAACAGCGAAATTCGCGAAATTAATTGAATATACTTGGAAGCGAGATGTCCAGTTCTAATAAAGGTGACGATGTTCTAGAATGTTCGAATTGTATTATCAAATTTTTGGGTGTCGATCGGACTGCTTGTTTCTGAGCGACGGTTGTTTGGAAATTGTATTACATTATTGTATGACAGCCGGGGGTGGATTATGTTAAATCGTGTAATTGACTTGTAGTTTAGGACAGTACAATAGACGTTTATTTATGGTTTTATTACTGTAACTATATAACTATGAAAACCAACTGCAAGGCTCGAACAATCGTATCTACTCTTCCCAAATTGTCCACTTTCGTGCACAATCCGAGCGTCGATTGGGGAGGCTTTACTTAAACGCGGAGCGCGGCGGAGACCGAGTCACAATCGACGCGTTCGGGGAATAATTCGAATGGCACGCGGTTTAATCGGCGGTATCGTATTTCGGTTGACTGCATACTTGAACGATTCGTTCAGCTCCAGCTTTATCTATTTCTACGGATTTACATCGATTACTGGAGAGAGAAAGAGTGAGAGCGAGTGGAAGAGATAGAGAGGCGTAGGAAGATAATTTTCGATGGTTTTTATCGATTCTATCACTTTTACATAGTGGCAGAGGGACGATAAGCAACTCTGACTATGATAAAGACCCGAGCATTTGAAAAAAACATAAGAAGCACCGCGATCCGGATTGTCCTCGGAGATCAAAGTACGATGTACGAATGTTTGCAGGTGGAACCGGTGCAATGGACCTTCGAGAACATCAGCATGAACGAGGACTCGAGCCCGAGCGAGCTCTGCTACCTCGCAGATTTCCTGTCGAAGAAACAGTTCGATCTCATAATCAATTTACCGATGCGAAACGGGGGCGCGAGACGCGTCTCGAACTTCATGACCCACGGATATCGCACGAGAAGGCTCGCCGTCGATTATTCCGTACCGTTGATCACCGACGTTAAATGCGTGAAACTGCTCGTCGAAGTAAGTACACCCTCCTCCCCCCCTCCTCCACCCCTGCCAAAAATGTTGGGACACTTGCTTACTTCGTACAAATAATAATAATTGTATAATATTTCGTTCAGTTTAAATAATATCTGCGAGTCTGCAATTTGGTATCGTGTTATCGAAAGAACACGCATATTAATCTTTTGCACTCGAAGCTGTTTGAACTGTAAATATAAAAACATTCTTCTAACTTACAGTATTTTTATTTTATATGATAACATGCATTTTATGCATATGAAATTGACTCTTCGAACTCACGCAACAGTTGCACTCTTAACAATCTTTTATATCTAAACTTTGTTAATGTAAAAATTATTTTAAAACGTGATGTGACAAATTTTAGTAGTGCCTCTGAGTCACCACTCGAGTGCAAAGGGTTAAGTTATAAGTGTTTGGTTAAATTGCGATTGGTTCATCCATTTATTGCATTCTGTTCGTTTCTAACACGTTTTCTTGATACCTGGAGCATATTACAAAATGCATGGAACGAAAGACTGTCAGAAATAATCGAGAAATTACTAAAACCAATGTCGAAATTAGTCCAGGAAATAATTAAAAAACTCGGTAAATACATTGACGATGAGAAAATTCGATTTTCTTTTATAAAATCGACGTTACTTTCATTACAACGTTAAATTACACATATGTGTACTTGTTACAGTTTGATATGATTTACTTCGGAATTATTAATATATTAATATATTGACTATATATATATATATATTAATATATAATAATAACAATTAATTAAAATAAATTCCCTATCACGTTGCAATATTCATTGAATTTTCTGTAAGTGTCCTAACACTTTTGGAAAGGGACTGTACGCCCCTTGAAATTTATAGGGAATTCGATTCGTAATTCGATGAGCGATTTCGCAGGCCATCAGGATGCTCGGTGGCCGAGCACCTCGCATGAAGACCCACACGGATTGCATGTCCTCCCGGACGTTGATCAAACTCCCCGGCTTGATCGACGTGCACGTGCACACGCGTGATCCTGGCGCGGTTCACAAGGAGGACTTCTCTTCGTGCACCGCCGCAGCCCTCGCAGGAGGCATCACTACGATTTTCGCGATGCCCAACACGAATCCGGCGGTCGTCGACCATCAATCCTTCACGTTGGCCAAGGAGGTAAACGTTTGACCTTGCGGGAACGCTTTGTCAGCCGTAGCCTTACACGCCAGACAGTTCGACAAAAGGACCGAGTTGCATCAAAGTCGAAAAACTTTCGACAGAAATGAAACGAAGCGGTGATTTTTTTTTACGTTAAACCTGTACGCAAATCCTGAAGCGGTGGATCAATTTTGTCAGCGGATTTGAAATCGGCGTATCGAAATCTCCTGGAAATGACAATAATAATAATAACTTTATAATATAATATGCTATTTTATAATATAATAATATAAATTTATAATATAATATATCATATTATGATATAGTAATTTCACCAACGGGACGAACCCTTTGTTCCAACGAGAGAGGGTAGTAATATGGTAACAGTCACGCGAGAACAGACGAGATAGAAGAACAAAAGGAAAGAAAAGAAAAGAAAAGAAAAAAGAAACAAAAAAGCGAAAAACAAGACCATAACATGTTATCAAAAAGATCCGATCTGTACACGCTATCGTATAAATCGTATTTCTGTTAGGATGTTTCAAGTTTCGACGTAAAAAATAATGTCACCGCTTTATCTCGTTTCCTTCGAAAGTTCTTTGATCTTTACACGACTCTGTTGCTTCGCTGCATACACACAGCGTGGCCCGAAGTCAACAATATGTCGACGATATCTTTCAGCGAGCCGTGACCAACGCCAGATGCGACTACGCGATCTTCCTCGGCGCCTCATCCGAGAATTACAATATCACGCCGGAATTGGCGCCGCTCGCAGCCGGCCTGAAAATGTATTTGAACGAGACATTCACGACGCTCCGATTACCTGATCTCACCGTGTGGATCAAGGTACATATATCTAGTATCTACGACCTTCTCATTGATATCGTTCGATCCTCGAGAACTCGAATCCTCTGTAGTTCCCCTGCGTAACCGTGATCCACTGATAACGCCGTTCGTTGCTCGGCTGCATCGAACGATCGCGTACACGTTACACGTGTGAATAAGAGGAAGTATCGTATCAATGTAACAGTAAATTCTTTCTAAATGACGCTCAGATCGTCCATTTTTGGTTTCCAAGCTGAGCGTCTATTCGGGAGAATGGATATAAGTTATATTGATAAAATGCATTCTCTAAATTTTCGATTTGGGATCGAATATATTTTTAATCTTAATATTTTTAAAAAACCTTTTACGTACTCATTTCACAAAAAATTGGTCAGTCAAACATCTGCAAAATATTCAAGCCCTTTGAACCAATTTTTTAAAAAAAAGTTTGCTACCTCAATAATGGCGAATTAGAAAATTTGAAAAAAATTTTGGGCCTAATGCCATCAGCCAGAAGATGCCGCATCGAACTGTCAATGCAACCGCATTGATAGGACAATGAACAGTGTTAATAATCACGCCAGCCCGCTTCACGACTTTCTTCCTTTATATTCTAGTTTTAGTTAGAAATATCTATGAATTCAGATAATCCGGACATTCGAATATCTAATATACAGTGTCGATCTTGTCGCAGCACTTTCAAAGCTGGCCAAAGAAGTATCCTCTCTGCGTGCACGCCGAGGGCCAAACGACAGCCGCGGTTCTGCTGCTTGCTGGACTGCACAGTCGGCCGATTCACGTGTGCCACGTGGCCCGGAAGGAGGAAATACAAATAATAAAAGCGGCTAAGGAAAAGGTGGGTGACTCGCTTGGAAACTAGGTAACAGTCGAACGAGCGTCCGGGATGAATACCTGTGATCCGTGTTGTTTCAGGGCATGCCGGTAACCTGCGAGGTGTGTCCCCATCATTTATTCCTGACCCAGGACGATCTGCCGAAAATCGGCTATGACCGAGGCCAAGTGAGGCCGATGTTAGGGACCAAGGAGGACCAGCAGGCCCTCTGGGACAATTTGGATGTGATCGATTGCTTCGCGACCGACCACGGTACGGCTCTGCTCCCGTTATCAGACGCAGCGAGAATCTAATCGATTCTATTAAGTCGAGTCACAAATAACTTCCGTCTCTTGATTGGACATTTACTTTGTTTTCCTTTTTATTCTTTTCCGTTTCATTTTTATTTATTTCTTTGTTCCTTTATTTTACTTATTTCTTCGTTTTTTATTTTATTTACTTCGAACCCTCGTCTATCTAGCAAAAGTAAAAACTCGTTTTTCCCCGGTGACTCATAGTGGATAAATACGAACAACAGATTCTGCCTATAACCGCGTCGAAGGTTATTTCCGACTCGACCTAATAACTCATGGTAATCGATTCTAATTGATTCGCAATCAAGAGCCTGAATTCGATTGCAGCCCCGCACACGGTGCAAGAAAAGTCCGGCGAGAAACCGCCGCCCGGATTTCCCGGCCTCGAGACCATGCTTCCGCTTCTGCTGACCGCCGTCCACGACGGGAAATTGACGTTAGAGGTACAGAGATACTTGCCCGATGCATCATCGTATCTCCTAATCACGCTTCGCGATTCTTTTAAATCGTAATTGACGCAACGCTCGGAATATCATAGGCACTTTTTCGATATGAGTCATTAGGGCATTGTCTCCGATATCTCTCTATCGTGAGATAAGCAGCGTGATCGGTGCATTGCACAAATTAACGGAGCCGTGACCAATCGGCTCGATGAATTGTTCTGCTTCGTCTAACTCGCTCTCCCAATGTTCCGCGCCGTTATCGACTGCTCGAACGATCGATTTATTTTTCAGGACTTGGTGGAGAAGCTCTATAAAAATCCGAAAAGGATCTTCAACATACCGGACCAGCCGAACACCTACATCGAGGTCGACGTGGACGACTCGTGGGTGATACCGGAAGCCATGCCGTTGACAAAGTCGAAATGGACGCCGTTCGCAGGGATGAGGGTGCGCGGATCGGTTCACAGGGTGATTCTCAGGGGGGAGGTGGCTTACGTCGAGGGACAGGTCCTGGTGAATCCAGGCTTCGGGCAGGACATCAGAGAGATTCAGGCGAGAATGAAGAGCCTAACTCTGATGACCACGCCTATGGTCATCGATGTCACCAGCCGCCCCAATTCGGCACTCGACGGTCTACTGTCCCCGAGCCCCAACAAGCCCGCCTATGGCGAGCGCAACGCGGACACGTCGGAGGAGGAACAAAACGGTGAGCGGAAAGCGTCCGCCGATCGCGACGAATCGCAACCGTGCTCTGGAAAGCGGTACAGCAATTTCTCCCGGAAATGCCAAGTTTTCGGATTGCTGTGAATTTCCCTGCGCCAGTCCTACGCCTATGTAATTTATCGCTACGACGAGACAACACGAAATGGTCTGTTCGGTCGGAAGACGCGATTTCATTCGCGTGAAATGCACTTCATAATATTGAGTTATTCATAATATATAGTTTCGAGCTCGTATCGCTGCGCGCCGAGCGCTCGCATCCAATTTCAAAACAAGCCAGGACTTCTCAGACGTTTCGATGATCCGGCGAAATAATGCTTCCGACAAAAGGCGATCGGTACTCGCTTGTCTACATACCAGAACACAAAAACTTGCGAAAGAAAATCCTATTTTAGAAAACATATTCGTCATCCGGGTGTTTCAAACGCGAATACGTATTTTTGATTCGATAACATTCCAGCTGGTGTCGAGACAAATTCCACCGTGATCTTAAATCTTGGAAAAAAAAGAGAAATTTATGTCGCAGAAGTAACTTAAGTCGACGATAAAGAAATTCCCGGACCACCGTGCGCCCGCTTCTCGGTAAGATATCGCGCGATCGATCGATCTTCGGTTTCAATTCTCAGAGTTGTTCGCGCATTTGCTACAACCGGCGCTGCACAAGTCGAACGTTCACTTCGTGGAGTCGCGGGAGCTCGTGAAGGTTCCGACGACCCAGCGGACGATCTCGCCCCTTCCGATGAGCAGCGCGATGAAGTACAAGAGCGACAGCAACTCGAACCTCAGCGTGACGCCAATGTCCACGGTGCTTTCCGTCCACACCAGCCACAGCCTGAGCGGACACAACATCTTGACCGTGGACATATTCGACAAGGAGATCCTGAAGGATCTCTTTTACATCGCGGAGGTCCTGAGGAACGCGATCAGGAAGGAGCGATCCGTCGATCACATCCTGCGAGTAAGAGAAGGCTGCCGGTTAGTCCGGCGGACCGTCGTCGTTCGCGAATAATTAAATGACTTCCTGTTTAATAAAATTAAATAACTTTCGGACAGGGAAAGATAATGGCTTCGATCTTCTACGAAGTTAGCACGAGAACGTCTTGCAGCTTCGCGGCGGCGATGTTGCGGCTGGGCGGCCGGGTGATCTACATGGACGGATCCACGTCGTCCGTCAAGAAGGGGGAGACCCTGGAAGGTTGTTGTTAAACGACTTGTTAAACAATCGAACTGTGCAGTGGATTCTCTCGAATTGTTCCTCAACGGGGAAACTTAATTGAACAACTTGGGAGACGATGCGATTGCTCGAGCCCTGCCCCATCCGCTCTTCCCAAGTTCTCCGTTCTCGTCTCCAAGCCGAGAGGACAATTTCGGAGAATTTGCTGTATTCGGAAGATCGATATTCATAGAGGACCGGCTCGCGTGTTTCAGATTCGGTGACGGTGATGGCTGGATACGCGGACGTGGTGGTTCTTCGGCATCCCGAACCGGGCGCAGTGTTTGTAAGCGGTGTATAATTTTGTTGCCGCGTTTCTATGCTCGGCCATCGGGGTTAGATCGCTCTATGTACGGCGACAGGGTCTTCCGAGACCCGTAGTAATAAATAATAGAACTGCAAGACCTCTGAAGGCCCTGTTACCGGAACGCGAGGGTTAAACGAAACGCGTCGATCGATTTATCGTTTATCGTCCTTTGCTCAGAAAGCCGCGCAGCACTGTAGGAAACCGCTGCTGAACGCCGGCGACGGGGTCGGCGAGCACCCGACGCAAGCTCTGCTCGACATCTTCACGATACGAGACGAGATCGGGACAGTGAACGGACTCACAATCACCATGGTCGGCGACTTGAAGCATGGCAGAACGGTGCACTCGTTGGCAAGGTCAGTCTTTCGCGCGGCGTTTCAATCTGTTCGTGCTATCTCCGATCTTAGCTGTCCGCATAAAATCGTACAAGCAGAATGCTTCTGCTCTAGACTTACAGGCTCGATCGACTTTAACGTTCCATCTAGACGTTCCAGGCATCCACCTTTCTTGCGGATCCCAGGTTACGGACGTGCTCCATTGGATCCGATAAACCGGGGGTGGTCAAATTTTTCATCGCCAAGGGCGACCTGTTTTTTTTTCTTTTAATTATAGGCGGCGATCTAACGACATAGTATATGATAAGGGACCGTAAGAAAAGTAGTAATTTAACGCTAGATAACATCGGACAGGCGAGCGACTAGAAATAGTTACTAAATACTTCACGATAATTGTCTCTTTCATTGGCAACACGATTTTCTTGTTTAAAGCGAACGTTGTAGAATTGTTAACGTCCACCTTGGATAGGTTCCGCTTTAATTGGTATTGTTCTCCTCTCTATCTTATGCTAGTTTTCTTTTGGTTCGTTTCCTGTATGCGTTCTTACATGTTTATGACTTTGTAGGTGCATAAAGAGCTGTTGGCGGTGCAAGCTATTCGCAGCTGAATGCAATGCCGCGAATAATTATTAGACCGCGGATTTTATACATTCGTGAAAAGAATGAGTACATTGTATTCAAAACAGTAGACAGATTAAGAGAATTTAAGAGTGCCATCGTATTATCTTCAACTCGGTAAAATTGTCGATGAAAGAAAGATGTTTCTCCCTTGCAATTAGTTGTTGCAATTCACAAATACAATCTTCATCATGCGTCAAGATCCGCGGCCTAATAATCAAAGACACGATATATAACTTTTATATTCTTACCGACATTTAAACGAAAGCTTAACAAAATCATATCGCGTTTCTACAGTTTCCATTATAAAAAATAATAGAAAACAGAAATATACAAATATGTTACTCTGTTAAATTTTCGTTTAGATGTCGATAACTCTATAAACGATACTTCGAGCATGCACATCGCTGCGACCAAATTTTCTCGGCTATTTTTTCCCGTAAGACCACGTTCGTCGCCGAACGTCGCGTCATCGAGCCGTTTTATTTTTATGCAATGAACACGCGTTGCATCGCGCAGGTTGTTGACACTGTACAACGTGGAGCTTCGCTACGTCAGCCCACCTGGCCTCAGCATGCCGGACCACGTGATGGACTACGTGGCGAAACGAAGGATCCCTCAGGAGAAGTTCTCCACCCTGGAGCAGGCCCTGCCAGACACCGACGTCCTCTACATGACTCGTATCCAGAAGGAACGGTTCGCCTCGCAGGAGGAATATCAACAGGTAGACCTTTCGACCTGGCGGAGCAACCTCGAGTCTAAATAGCGCGCGCGCGCGCACGTTCTAGCGAAAAAATTTGTTGCTAAAATTTGTCCGACGTTGCAGGTCTGCGGACACTTCGTGATAACGCCGCAGCTGATGTCACGCGCCAAGAGGAAAATGATAGTGATGCACCCGTTGCCGCGCGTTTTCGAGATCAGCCCGGAATTCGACACGGATCCTCGAGCCGCCTACTTTCGGCAAGCCGAGAACGGCGTCTACGTTCGAATGGCTCTCCTGGAGATGGTCCTTAGACGTCAGTGATGCCTCGAGGCAGCGAAAGGGCGACGGGGCGTGGGCGCGGAGTGGCATCGTTTCAGGAGCAAAATCGACTGCGCAAGAGCGATACGAAATCGTATTCGATCGTACTCGATCCTGTTTCCAATTAGTCTGTGATTCGTGTACAATGTATTTTATATTCGACCAAAGGGAACAACGAGCAACGCGATATATATGTATATTCGTCGCATTCGGCGGCTAGGAAATTTCCGTACACCTTTTGGAATGCGATCATGTTCTTTGAAACCGCGCTGAATGCCTCGAATTCTTTCTGGACGATAGAAGGACCAGTCTAGCAGACAGCGACTGAAATACATTTACTTAGTTTTTTTTTTAACATTTTTGATCCGAGCCTAGAACGAGAATTTCAAAATGTCTTCCGTAGACGTTCGCGGTAACTTATATGCGTGCCGAACATTTGATCGGTAACGGTTAACCTTTTGTGGTGAAAATCGTGACTGAACTGCGTTTTCTGCGATCACTAGTTTCCTGTAACACGTAACAACGCCAGTCGATTTCGTCAAATTATCAGCACGCATTTTTTCAATTTTCGTTACAGATGAAAAGAAAGATTAAAAAACGTGCGGTTTCTATCTATCGGTGTTATTGCAAGCGACAGCAAAATCGGAGGAAAGTATGTTAATCGTTGGCTGGTAGAGCCGAGAGTCCTTCTATCGTCTAAAAAATAGTTCGAGACCGTTGGTCCAGCTTTCAAAAATGCGATCGCGTTTCGCGAAAGGTGTACGAAGACTTTCGCGGCCGAGTGTGCATTTCCGATGCAACAGAGCAATATTTCTACCGAACATTCCACGTGCAACAATATACCGATACCACTTCGATAACCCCCTTCGTATCATCCGCGAAGCCGCGAACGCGAACTTCCTATTTACGAAGAAACGCCGACGATTTTACGATGCGAGAGATAAGAGCAGCCTCTCGGCTCCTTCCTTCCATAGTGCCTGTAAATGAAAACGAAGAAACGATCGTGTGCCAGGTAATAAAATATTTACTTTCGGGCAAAACATCGCGTATATACATTCTCTCTTTACCTATGTACATGTTGCGTGTAGAACGAAGCGTGGTGCATCGATGGAAAAACCCGAATGTAACGCGAATGCAGGTTCCCTGTTCGATGTGCCTAGCTTAGATGCCCCGGTTACCGTGCCCCCGGATTAAAAACGTATTAAAAAAAGAGAACATTTATACACAAATCGTTGATCTATATTTTTTGATTACATTTTACCTATCAACATGTAAGATTCAGGGAGAACCGCACTAAATTCTCCCCAATTTTCCTTAAGCTTTATTCATATTATTCGAGCCTCGCGCCTCGTTTTTATAATCGTCGACAATCGCCGTCTATAAAAACGAGCCGCGAGGCACGAGCAATCGCACCTCCTCTCCCCTAATTGTCCATTTTTCTTCACAAGCTGAGAAGGAAAATTGGGGCAGAATTTACCGCGTCGTGTTCGCGCATGAAACATTCCTCTTTTTCCTGTCTCTTATACACATCTAGATGTGTATAAGAGACAGGAAAAAGAGGAATGTTTCATGCGCGAACACGACGCGGTAAATTCTGCCTGTCTCTTATACACATCTAGATGTGTATAAGAGACAGGAAAAAGAGGAATGTTTCATGCGCGAACACGACGCGGTAAATTCTGCCTGTCTCTTATACACATCTAGATGTGTATAAGAGACAGGAAAAAGAGGAATGTTTCATGCGCGAACACGACGCGGTAAATTCTGCCTGTCTCTTATACACATCTAGATGTGTATAAGAGACAGGAAAAAGAGGAATGTTTCATGCGCGAACACGACGCGGTAAATTCTGCCTGTCTCTTATACACATCTAGATGTGTATAAGAGACAGGAAAAAGAGGAATGTTTCATGCGCGAACACGACGCGGTAAATTCTGCCTGTCTCTTATACACATCTAGATGTGTATAAGAGACAGGAAAAAGAGGAATGTTTCATGCGCGAACACGACGCGGTAAATTCTGCCTGTCTCTTATACACATCTAGATGTGTATAAGAGACAGGAAAAAGAGGAATGTTTCATGCGCGAACACGACGCGGTAAATTCTGCCTGTCTCTTATACACATCTAGATGTGTATAAGAGACAGGAAAAAGAGGAATGTTTCATGCGCGAACACGACGCGGTAAATTCTGCCTGTCTCTTATACACATCTAGATGTGTATAAGAGACAGGAAAAAGAGGAATGTTTCATGCGCGAACACGACGCGGTAAATTCTGCCTGTCTCTTATACACATCTAGATGTGTATAAGAGACAGGAAAAAGAGGAATGTTTCATGCGCGAACACGACGCGGTAAATTCTGCCTGTCTCTTATACACATCTAGATGTGTATAAGAGACAGGAAAAAGAGGAATGTTTCATGCGCGAACACGACGCGGTAAATTCTGCCTGTCTCTTATACACATCTAGATGTGTATAAGAGACAGGAAAAAGAGGAATGTTTCATGCGCGAACACGACGCGGTAAATTCTGCCTGTCTCTTATACACATCTAGATGTGTATAAGAGACAGGAAAAAGAGGAATGTTTCATGCGCGAACACGACGCGGTAAATTCTGCCTGTCTCTTATACACATCTAGATGTGTATAAGAGACAGGAAAAAGAGGAATGTTTCATGCGCGAACACGACGCGGTAAATTCTGCCTGTCTCTTATACACATCTAGATGTGTATAAGAGACAGGAAAAAGAGGAATGTTTCATGCGCGAACACGACGCGGTAAATTCTGCCTGTCTCTTATACACATCTAGATGTGTATAAGAGACAGGAAAAAGAGGAATGTTTCATGCGCGAACACGACGCGGTAAATTCTGCCTGTCTCTTATACACATCTAGATGTGTATAAGAGACAGGAAAAAGAGGAATGTTTCATGCGCGAACACGACGCGGTAAATTCTGCCTGTCTCTTATACACATCTAGATGTGTATAAGAGACAGGAAAAAGAGGAATGTTTCATGCGCGAACACGACGCGGTAAATTCTGCCTGTCTCTTATACACATCTAGATGTGTATAAGAGACAGGAAAAAGAGGAATGTTTCATGCGCGAACACGACGCGGTAAATTCTGCCTGTCTCTTATACACATCTAGATGTGTATAAGAGACAGGCAGAATTTACCGCGTCGTGTTCGCGCATGAAACATTCCTCTTTTTCCATACGTTCTCGATCGGGGGGGGGGGGGGGGCACGGAAACAGGGAAACATGTGAACCCTATTCGAAACGCGACGAAGAAATCGCGCGACGGAACCGTGTTTCTCCGCCGCTGTAATCTGCCCAATTGTATGATGCGGCGATGCGCAACCACGCGAGCGAGTCCACGACGGCCACGATTTATTGGATGATCCGCGGCGAAATCGTTTCACGGGTAGAATGACACTCCAACAGCTAATCCAGCTACAAGGCCGAAGGAATGACTAGACATTGACATCTCGCCGCTGTCGCAATTGGGATCGCGACGAAACGCAATTATATTATAAAACTGTTCGATATTGTGCGAGCCAGAAGACGTACGTTCTCGCGCTCGTTCACAGTGACACGCGGCCGCGTTCGTGTGCACAACGTGTTCACGTTTCTACAATATGTACGTCGTCGAATCGTGCAAACATCGAGATTCGGACCGCGGCGGCAGTGCTGGTGGAGGGACGAGGGGATAGGGGAGGAGAGGGAGATATGTATATAGCCAGAGATAGCGAGAGAGGATCAACGTCGCCGTGTATCCGTTTGCGTGACTCGGAGCCACGCGAGATCATCGGGAGCCCGCGATATCCGATCGATGCGATCGACGGGAGTTCCAATTGACGCACGAGATAAATAACGATAGAAATCACAGTCGAGGGAATTAGCTGAATAATCGTCTGCCGCGGCGGGCCTCGTCGTCGGCGAAGGTCGCGTCGCCGATCTCTCGATGCCGAATTCGGTGAAAATAATGCCGACAGTTTTGTTTCTCCGCTCCGCATCGAGGACCACTTTTTTTCCCATCTCGACGAAGTTCGATGAGAGAGAGAGAGAACCGGCTGCCGCTGCCGTGAACCGCGCTCGCGTTCGATAGAGCAGAAAACGGCCGCGGGGACCGTCAGACTATGGCGTCCCTCGTTCGAAAACCGGCGTCGCTCGCCCCGTTCGGGCACATGTCCGACGCCAGGGATTTCCCGTCGTCCTTCCCCGTTTTCCTCGTCCGCGATATCGGCGGCATTCGCAGCTTCAGCTTCCTTTTCTTCAGGGCCTCCTTTTTCCTGAAAGAGAAGCAACCAGTCGGGTCAGTCCGTACGCGCTCGGCTCCGCGGCTGATAGAGAGGCACGCGTGTATCCGGTTTTCTCCGTACTGGTGTTTGCAATCGATGAATATTCCCATCGAGAACAGCACTACTATGGCCACGATGATACCGATCACGACTACCACCAGAGTGACTATCGCGTCCTCCTCCTCGGCGGTGAACGGCGGCGTTTCCGTCGTCGACCACGACGTTGTTTCCCCTGAAACAGCGGCGCCCCTTTTTGCACTTTGACTCGCTCGAAATACAGTGATGTCTCTCTAATCGACGCATGCCAGATTGTCCGCAAATATAGACGATTTAGGAAGCGGAGATGCGATTGTTCGATCCTTGCGGTGTTCATTTTTGCGGTCACGTATTGTCGACGACTATAAAAACTAGCTGGAAGGCTCGAATAATCGAATCTCCTCTTCCCAAATTGTCGATTTTTCTGCACAATTAGGGAGACATTACTGTAATACAATAACTAATTTTTAAATTCTTGAAATGTATTCACTGTTTCGAGAATCATTATCTTCCAGGTGTTGCTATTACTATTATTCTCGTTATTGCTCGTTATTACATATACCACTAAGCCTGCTATTGTTAATAGCATTAACGCTACTCGTGCCACTGCTATCTTTATCATTGAATTCTCGCATTATTACCTCGCGTTATTATATTGTTTCGGTATCGATCGCTGCGCTCGTCTTTATCTTGTCACAGATTACGTTCCGCCGTCTTCGTCTCGCGCGACTCGCTATTGTAACACCGATTTCCTATCGCTGTCGCGAGAGAACGCGACAGCGAGAAACGAATTCTAAACTGAGTAAACGGGGGACAAACGGACGAAGGTCAAATTCCATGGAATCGACCAGGGAGGTCGCCGTGCGTCGCCTCGGCTTATATTTGTACGCGACAGGGTCGGGTCCTTTGCGAATCCGTTCCGTCGTGTCCTTCCTCTTCCTGTTCCGTCGAGGCGGGCCCGTACGTGGCCCGAAGAACGTCGCGCGACAATCGCAGCGGCAGGAGGGGCCCAACGCCGTGACGTAAATCAGCTGACCAAATATTTCGTGGCCGTTCCTTAACCCGACGAGAGACGGCTCGCACGTGTGACACATATCCTCGATCGATTCGGCGTCAGCGAATCCGATTGCGGGCACATTTCCTTCGCGGAAAAACCGCGGACGGTTCCGTGGCTCCGGTACAATAATGTCTCCGCTCGGATTGTACACAAAACTGGACAATTTTGGAAGAGGAGATACAATTCGTCATTATAAAAATGAATCGCAAGGATCGAACAATCGTATCTCCTCCGCCATATTTGTCCATTTTTCTGGACAATCCGAGCGTCAATTAGAGAGACAACTGTACTGTGAGTCCGAAAAATTATTTTAGATTCGCGGTTAAAATCGCTTCGAGGATAAAGGGTTAACAGTTAACTGTAGAAATCGCTGGCGCAAGAACGAGAACCCGCGATGAGATTAAACGAGCTTGGAACGAAATTATCGGCGCACAACCGATTATAAACGAGCTCGCAGAGCACGTCGTTTCTTCGAAATCGGAGCGAAACGCGTCGAATCGACGCTGCAAGAGACGTGCGAAGTCCGCGATCTCGATTTTCTCGGTGAACGCGGGGAAACGCGTTCGTCTCTCGCGAACTGTATCAACGTCGGTGGCCGTCGAGGGCCCCGCAAACAGGCCGACAAGAACCGGGACCGGTCTACGCGTTTCTCGCATGTCGCTGCACCGGTGCACGCGTTCGCATCGCCGCCGATATCGTTCGGATCGATCAGAAATCCGCGCGCATCGCGTTGCGGCGATCGTAGCAGCGAGGAATGCGCGCGGGTTGACGTAACGCCGAGGACTCTCGTTTTGCGTGCCGGCGAGGAACACTTCGCCGCGTCCCGAGGAATTGCCCAGGCCTCTCCGCGATCTTTGGAAAGGACGTTGCACGCGGCAGGACCTCGCGCGCGAGAGACGCGATAGATACTTCGACCTCGACTCTCCTCGCTCTGACCGTGAGTCCCCCGGAGGAAAGGCTTAGCGAACGGCCAACCGATTCCCGTCGATCGTATCGGCGATCGTTGCTTCTGTTACGCCGGAGGGGCGTATCGAGCTCCGATTTCGTTGCTGGCGATAACGCGCGATCGGACGGCTCCCGCGTTTCGGTTTCCTACTTCCTACGCACGACCTAGCGCGTTGTTCGCGGAAACTGCAGTTTATCGTGGCACGCGCGCCGAGCTCCGATCGATCGGCGAGATTTTTTAACAGATAAAAGATTTTCGGTTTGCGTCATTACTGCGAAACGTCCCGCCGCTCTGCTCCGCGCCGCGCCGCGTCGCGCTGGTGCGCCGATAAGGTGATCCACATCTCGCGTCCTTGCAGCGATCGCGACGGTCACGCGGCTCCGTTAAATTCGCCTATAAGTCCCTTCGAACGTAAATTTAACCTTTAAACTCCCGTCGGTCCCTTTCGCATCCCATCCCTTCGAGCTCCCGTCGAATACCGTTCAAATTCCCTCCGAAGTTCCCTCCGTTCGCCGCGGACAAATATTTGCGATTCTACCGTTCAGAATTTAATTACCCCGCAGTAGTCGTCCCGTTATCGTTACACAACCGACCATCGCGCGCGCGCGCGTGTGTTTGTACGTACCAGTACGTGCCTACCTACGTGCCCGGCCGAGTTCGCGGATTCCACGGGAGAACCGATTGTTCCCGGAAATAATGGATTCCTCTTGTGAACTCGAGTGAAATCGCGCGCTAGCGAGCGAGCGCGCGTTCGCGTACCGGCTAACCGGGGAAAGTATCGGCGGTGTCGCTTTTTTGCACGACCGTTGCGTTTGCTCGGGAATCGCTCGAGACTTTCCAGTTCCGCGAATGGTAAACGGCGGGGAATGAAATCGGCGAGAACGGACAATCGGAGCCGCGAATCCAGCGATTGTTCGGGGCGTGTGCCGCGCGGCGATGCGAGCTAGCAGCTCGGATCGGACGGATCCGCTGCTGTACGCGTCGATACTCGCGATGCAAAAGGAACGGGCAGAGCTGTTGTCATTGTTCCAGCAGACTCGACACCTGTTGAGTTTCGTCCTGGGACCGGCGGTCGGCGAATCGGCGGACGAGCGCGGGGAACGGTGCTCGAGGGTTCGCGAGACGGCGAGACGGTTCGCGGAGGGATCGCGACGCGAGAACCGCGGAAAAAGCGCGGAAGAAAATCGGCGTTTTTCACTATGATCGCGCTAATCGATCGCGGTAATCGAAAAAATATTGAAATACCTTCCGCGGACGGGAGCAGTCCGTGGCTGTTGTTGACGGTCTTTTCGCGCAGGCCCATGGTTCGTGCGACCGAGTCCTCTCTTTCTCTCTCTCTCTCTTTCTACGCTCGAAATCGTCCGCGAATCGACCGGTTCGAGATCCCGAGGTAAACTGTCGGCCACATGCCTCGCGAGTCATGCGATATGCTCGGTGGGCCTCTACGAGAGCAGCGGAAACCGAGGCGCGCGTGGAACGAGCGGCGAACGCGCCCGGCCGAAAGTGGAAGAAAGAGAGGCCAGCTACGCTTCACGGATCGCGGGAAGCGGCCCGGGGTGGGGCAGAGAGGAAAGAGAAACCTCACGGTCTCTCCGTCGAGGAGAGTCCATGAGGAGAGACCGACGTGTGTAACTTCCATTCACTGTCCACGGGAACCACGTAGAACTTGGTACGCGTTGGAACGACCCGCACGCTTTTCGTACAGTCTCCCTCAAAATTCTATTGCACGCGCGTCATCCGCGACGTCCTCGCTTCCGAATGGATGTCACGGCGAACCGCACCCCTTGCTCGTGGCTGGCCCGCCACCTACGACGCGCGTGCATCCGAACGCGAGACGACCGCGCGTTTCCTCCGCGCGACGCTCGCTCGTTCGTTTCGGTCGCTTCGCTCGCTTCGGTGGTCCCCGTTTTATTTCGTATGCATTTTTAAGGGTGACGCATCCTATGCACCGCTGTCGCGCGCACCTGGAAGACACCCATTCTGTATTGTAAAGGGCGCGCATAATTGCACGACCGCGGATCTTCCTGCGAGAAGAGAGATTATCGTCGTCGATCGCAACGAACTCGCGAGCCAGATATTTCACTAATGTGAATCAGATAAATCAGTGACGATTTCTCTTCGTTCATTGAATTTGATTACGTGTAATGAATTGTCACTAGTTTCTGAATGGCTGATTTATCGGTGAACGATTTCAGCGTGTTGGAAACGATGCGCGGATGTCGTTAAATTATTTTAACCAGATAACTGTGTTCGACGAGTACACTCGTCGTGGAGAAATGACAGTATTTCGTGTCGCGACGAGTATAGCCGCGTGTAAAAAATGACGATCTTCGATTGGTAAATTGTCCGAATTGACCAAATTGTAAGTTTAGTGGAAACGAAAACATGTTCACAAATTTCAAGGTGTTTGGAATATCCTCGGATTCTTTGAATGGTGTCGTTTGTTTAATATTTCACCTAATCATTTTCGTCGGAAATTCGTCGAAATATGCGCGGTCTAATATATTAGTATATTTCTGATATATTTATATATATTTAACCCTTTGCACTCGAGTGGTGACTCTGAGGCACCATTAAAATTGTTAAGATGATGTCACGTTCTAAAATAATTTTTACGTTAGCAAAGTTTAGATTTAAAACGATTGTTAAGAGCGTAACCGTTGTGCGAGTCACAAGAGTCAATTGCATATGCATAAAATGCACTTTGTCATGTAAAATAAAAATACTATAAGGCAGAAAAATTATTTTAGATTATATCATATATTCATATTATTATTATATATATTATATATTATATTATATCAGATTATTATTATTATTATTCATATATTCATATTATCATATTATATCATATATTATATGATAATGAAATAGCTTCGAGTGCAAAGGGTTAATACACAGTAATGTCTCTCTAATTGACGCTCAGATTGTCCACAAAAATGGACAATTCGGAAAGACGAGATACGATTATTCGAGCCTTGCGGTTGGTTTTCATAGATACGAATTAACAACTATAAAAACGAGCTGCAAGGCTTGAACAATCGTATCTCCACTTCCCAAATTGTCCATTTTTGTGCACAATCTGAGCGTCAATTAGAGAGACATTACAATATTTCTATATTCCACTACTTTTAATATAGAATTATACAGATACGGTATTTTGTGAAACTTTTTTCAGATATACAGGATGACTAAAGGTGGCCACCTAAGGTGTCGCTAATAACTATAAACTCGAAATAACTTTTACCTTTTTACCGATATTCAAACAAGACCGAGAAGAAGGATTATACTCGTACGTTTCCATTCTCTATTATTTCTAATACGCAAACGAACGAACGAACGCGACGACTCTGTCTCTAACTTCTTCTTTAAATACCGATGAAACTGTAAAAGTTACAATAATACAATTATACTAAATCGTAGTAAGTTGTAATCTATAATTATTCACACCAGGCTGTACGCATTACAATTCTGTGTGTTCTGGTTTCAGCTTCGACGTCGAAGTCGAACACACAGTCGACGAGTGGAATATTCTGTTTCACAGGAGAGTCTAATCAACCGTTAACAAATCCAGTAACAGCAGTATCAAAATAGAGGCATCGCTACGAGGTGTTCGATGACGCGCGAGACGGTCCAGTGGCCAATCGGCCGGAATCCTCGCGGTTTCTCGGCCGCGCGCGAAGATCGGTATCGGTTCGGCTTCCAGTGGCACTCGACCCATTTTCCTGATTATCGGGCCCGATTATCCGATCGTCGTGCGTCGTTCGACGCGTTTCGGACGGCGATTCAACGTCCAGTCTTGTAATGGACGTAAGAGAAATAAGCGTCCGCCCCGTGCAGCACGCCGACGAAGCCGCTCAACATCTGCGGAGGGACACAAAAGAACCGCGTAAAAGAACGCGTTCGACGCATTCGTAGATCGATCGCAGCGAAGGCAAACGTTAACGGCAAGGATATACGAACGTAAGCGGCCGTCATCGCAGGATAAACATCGAATCCTGGTCTTATGTAATATTCCGGCAGAAGGAACAGCTTCGTGGAGAACGCCAAATAGGATGCGGAACTTAGATAGAGGAACGACGCGAGAGCGTTGAACATCATTTCCTGAAACGATTCGAAAGGCGTTAGATGAGCTCGCGGAGCGGAGATCGCGATCGTGATTGTACGTACGAAGAGGGACGATCTGATCTGTCTGTAGGACTTTTCCGACACTACGTAGCAGGCGAGCAACACCGCCGACGTCAAAAAGCAGGCGGACGACGTGGTCAAAGACCCTTCGAAAGCGGAGCCGATCGTCGTGCTGTACCTCAAGCCGTAGTTAATCAGCAAGCTCTGAATCAAACCGCTGATTATCTGCAATCACGGTGCACACGTTCGATGATGATCGTTGCTATTAGATTGTGCAATAAGTCCGTTCGCGTTTTCTTGTAGGAAAATGTAGCACCGTGTGCTTAAAGTACACGCTTCTAGCTTTCATTTAAGCTAAGTTTCGTAGAAATAGCCATATGGGAACGTATCTTGAAATCCATCTGAACTTTTCCTTTGAAATCTTGTAAAATCCCATGATATGTTAGAGGTCGATTCTTTCGAATTTTTCAAAACGATCTCGTCGTTCCATTGCAATCTAATCTACCCTGTCTTGAAGTAGATATTTTCAGCTTTCAATTAAGCTAATTTTCATAGAAATTGTCCAACGAGAACAGATCCTAATAATTTATCCGAATTGTACCTTTTAAATCTTGTAAATCCCGTGATATGTCACAGGTCGATTCCTTTCAATTTTTTGAAACTATCTCGTCGTTCTATTGCAATTTAATCTACTCTGCCTTAAAGTAGACACTTTCAGCTTTCATTTGAGCTAATTTTCATTGAAATTGTCCCACGAAAACAGATCTCAAAAATTTATATCCGAACTCTTGCAAACCCCATGATACGTCAGAGATCGATTCCCTCGAATTTTTCAAAATAACCTCGTCGTTCCATCGCGATCTAATCTACCCTGTCTTAAAGTAGACACTTCCAGCTTTCTTTTAAGCTAGACTGCTTAGCCGGACTTATTACACAACCGAATGTTATCGCGATAGAACGTTTCGCGAACACCGCGGGTCGACGATCGGTTGCCAGATGGGCCCGGACGTACCGTTTCGCAGAGCTTGATAATGCCCGGCATGGTCTTCAGGAATTCCACGTGTATGCACGTGCAGCATCGGCAGCAACAACATTCGACACCTCCGGCCGCATGAGTGCCGCCGGACGACATCCTGATTATCGGCCCTGCTTCGTTTCGGCCCATCCTTCCTCCTCCTCCTCCTCCTTCCTTCTCTCTCCTCCGGCCGGCGATCCGTCGTTTCTCGACCCGTTTCTCTCGTTAACGATTTCGCGAAAGTGTCCGTCGTCGAATCTCATAGGTCGTCGACAATTGACAAGTTCGTTGAACCTCGTCTCTCTCTTTCTCTCTCTCTCTCTCTCTCTCTCTCTCTCTCTCTCTCTCTCTCTCTCTCGTCTACGCCCGGATCGTTGATTCGGCGGCCCTAATTGGCTAAACGGCGATTAATTCGTACGGTTGCGCGGCAGTCGATTAATCGGTGCCCGGTGATTTGTATCGGGGCTCGGAGCCGCGGGATTTACTCGCGTTTCGAACCGGCGATCTTTCGATTTAGCAGAGATTCGCGGGGCCGGACGAAGGAAGAAGCATCCGTACGTCGTAGAGCTTTCTGACAAACTGAGGGTGACTTACCAGTTCATTCGGAAAGTTGAAACGTCGCGTTTCACCACCCCCCGCGTGGGATTCCTCGCGAGGGGATACAGACGACGGCTATTTCGGGCGCGTGCCAGAAGTCGGTACATTCGTCGAACCGGCTGTTGCACCGCCGCGGCATGGCACAGGAAACGAGAAGAAAAAGAGAATCTCTCAAAACAGACAGGGCGCGTGGATCACGATCGATGCCGAGGAAATTCGTTTATTTCCGACCGGGCCCCGCGACGCGCCGCGTTTGGCCACATTCGCATACATAATTTAATTGCTTGCGTCGCGCGTCGACCGCGGTATCCTGTCCTCTCTCTCTCTCTCTCTCTCTCTCTCTCTCTCTTTCTTTCTTTCTTTCCCTTTCTCTTTCTCTCGGTGCGCAACTTTATTGAAACTCGTCCCGCATACGGGGTTACGTGCGAGTTCGCGTCCTGTCGATGGCCGTGCGAAAGAAAGCCGTATTTTTCAAGCGGCGTGGTAACGCGGGCATATTTTCTGACTCACAATTACGTGTTCCGTCTGGCATGCCGTCGCGATCGAGCACCGTCGGCTCGATCCTCCGCGCCCGAGAGCGATCCGTTCGGCTCGCGTTTCGTTCGCCCGGATTCGCGCGAGGATTTTCGGTTTACTCGATTGCTGGATCTTCTATAAACTTTCTTTATTGGTAAATCGTCAGTCGTTAAATTAACGCAGAGCTTGCGTGCCGTTGACGCAAGATATATATATATATGTATAGTATGTATATGTATAGATGTTTCTTGCGGATGCTTTGTACAAATACGGTTAAAAAAGTGATGGGTAGAGAAGTATCAAATGCCCGTGGGTACAGTCGTTTGTGCGCCGAACGCGAGCGACGCGTTCGATGGTGTCATGTACGTATATACTTTCGTTCGCGCGTGCAGTTGCGATTTCTCGTTATCGCTCTTCCGCGTACGTAACGAATATCCCGCGTTCGTCGACGTAACATAGGCTTCAAATGTTCGACGATTCGGCCGCGATTACGATCGTAAGAAGTTACGACGCCTCTTTGTCCAAGTACAGTAATGTCTCTCGAATTGACGCTCGGATTGTTCAAAAAAATAGACAATTTTCGGAAGAGAAGATACGATTGTTCGAGCCTTGCGGTTCATTTTTGTACTTATAAATTGTTCACAATTATAAAAACGAGCCGCGAGGCTCGAATAATAGTGGACAACCTGAGCGTCAGTAAGGGAGACATTAAAATGGACAATGTCGGAAGAGAAGATGCGGTTATTCGAGCCTTGCGGTTCGTTTTCATAGCTGCGAATTGCCGAGAAATATAAAAACGAGCTGCAAGGCTCTGATAATCGTATCTACTCTTCTCAAATTATCTATTTTAGTGGACAACCCGAGCGGCAGTAAGGGAGACATTAAAATGGACAATGTTGGAAGAGAAGATGCGATTACTCGAGCCTTGCGATTCGTTTTCATAGTTACGAATTGTCAAGAAATATAAAAACGAGCTGCAAGGCTCGAATAATCGTACCTCCTCTTCCCAAATAGTCCGTTTTTCTGCTCAACCTGAGCGTCAGTAAGGGAGACATTACTGTATGCTCGCACCAGAACGCCGCAACGAACAGTTCTCCGTTTCGGACCGAATTCGTTCGGGGAAAAATGAAGCGGTCGATCGATCGGCGAAGGCGGCGATAGTTCTCCTCGGACTCTTCAGAGGCCCTTGTACATGCGAACGGCGATGATCGTGCTGAGGAAGTACAACGCCGCGTTTATCAAACCGCAGATCTGAAAAATCGAACGGTGTGTTACGTACATCATAGAAAAAAAAGGATCGCGGTCGAACGTTTTGAGCATGAAAAGCGATTTCGTTCGCGTTAGTTACCGCTGCAGCCATGAACACGTCGTTTCCCCTGCCTCTGTTCGACACGTTCACCAAAAATGTTAACGACGCGGCCAGGTACAGTCCGAACGCGATCGAATGATAGACCAGTTCCTGCGAAACGAATGGGATAATCGTTGGTGAGCGGTCCGGCGATTCGCGTGCGGGTGTTAGAAAAAAATCCGGCTGCTCACGTAAATGGTTTTCGAGATGATGCCCGGCGTGGAATGGGAGGCCACGTAGCTGATCACCAGAATCGCGGTGCCGATCAGGAACGTCGTCGTTATCAGGAAGAAAAATATCTCGGCGGAGAGCATGTAACTGTTATACGTGGAGTAATTGTGACCGATGATCGTCACGCAAACGATTCCTAGTGCCTGTAAAAATCGGAACAATCGAATCTGTTTCGACAGGGATATTTGTCAGCTAAAACATATTGCGAACGGTACAGAGATGTTCGGTGGACGACGCGCCTACAAAGAAATTGTGCAATTATAAATTATAAATTATGCGAGTGTAAAGTGCGGGATGCTTTGCGAAGCTCGAATTAAAAATGATTAACGGAGGAAAAAGATTACAGTCGGCAGATTGGATCGAAACAGTGTCGGATAATTCGAACTGTATTGCATGTAGTTTGACAACTAGGCATTCAAAGTTAATATTTTTCGACTCAAAATGCTTCAAAGGATCTGTCGCATGGATTGCCGTAATTATAGTTAATTAGGTTTCCTCGTAAAATAGCCATTTCGCGGACCATGGCAAGCTACCCCCATATAGCAAATAAAAGCCCTAACTCGATGTAGGGACGACGAAAAACATTAATTATGCCGAAATTAGGGCATAAAGTGAAAAATCGGGGACACAGAATTGTTCAGGAGAATCTACTGTGCCGATATCGCATGAAAAAACAATTAACAACATTGCGAAACATAATTAATTATTATTTGAAGTTCGATTAATTATTACGTTAACTAATTACATTTTGCGTCGCTGTTGTTCTGTTTTCGAACACAAAATCGACGCAGTAGATTCTTCTGAACAGATTTGTGTCCTTGGATCACATTTTGGTTGCTTAATTATGCCATAATTAATGTTTTTCCGGCGTCTATACATAGTGTATATGCGGCGAAAGTGGCGCCCCTTGTGGAGAAAAAACGAAGCTTCCTTCGAGGTCCGTACAGCGCCAATTAGGACGGTGGCAAAACGCTCAAACTGTTCGCCAAATTACCGACGGTCGACTTTGGCTAATAGTTTGAGCGTTTTGCCACCGTCCTAATTGGCGCTGTACGGACCTCGAAGGGAGCTTCGTTTTCTCTCCACAAGAGGCGCCACTTTCGCTCGCAAGGCGAACGAATTGTACACAATGCAGGGTCACCTAAAAACGTTAATTATGACAAAATTGGGGCATAAAAAACTAAATCAAAGATACGGAATTGTTCGGGGGAATCTACCGTGTCGATATCGTATCAAAATAACAGACGATATCGTCGCGGAACGTTATTAATTAAAATAATAATTAATCAAACTTCGCAGAGCAATTAACAAGGTTTCACAATGTTATCACCTGTTTTTTCTATATGATATCGATGCAGTAGATTCTCGCGAACAATTCTGCGTCCTTGGATTTTCTTTACATGCCCTAATTTCCGTCATGAAATGCCTATTTTTTTGGGAATCCTAATTAGCAATACAATTATAGCGATCTATAGTATGATATCGACGCCCTCGTCACCATGAACATTTCTAAGAAAAACATTAGCTACAATAAACAGTTTTCTTCCGCATGAAATTGTTGCCAAAAGATTGCCCAATCGTTTCCGTGTCGTCAGAACAGTTTAAATTGGATTCTTTGCACTTTAAACTCGTCTCACAGTCGTCAAAGCGATAATAAAACGAAGCATATGGATGCAATCGAATTATCCGGCCTATCTGAAATTCTCCCAGATTGTCGCACAGCTTGTAAACAAAAATGGACAATTTGGGAAGAGGAGATACGATTATTCGAGCCTTGCGGTCCGTTTTTATAATTCTTGACAATTTACAATTCTTAACATCTCGAATAATCGTACCTCCTCTTCCAAAATTATCCAATTCGGTGCACAATCGCGCGTCAATTAGGGAGAATTTGCTGTACCTCGATCGGCCACCTTCCGCTATCCGGAACAGCAAACGCGATCGCGAACGATCGCACGATCGACGGAAAAAATGATCTCACCAATTGCAACAACTTGATCACGCCGCTCCACGTTTTCAAGTAACCAGTGTTGAGGATAACTGCCGTGGAGTTAGTGGTGACAGTGTGAGTTCTGATGGTCACAGAGTGCGACATGGTCGATCCGTCGTTGCCGATTCTAGAATTTGAAAACGACGGCGGTGTTTAGTCGGTTCGTAATCGTCGGCTCCAGCACGTCCGCTCGAGGATGTTGCGGTCAGAAACGATCAGAAATACGGCCAAGGACAAGATTTCGAGGCGCGGCCTACATTTCGCGTCGATCCTCCTCTTCCTCTTCTCTACATCGTCGTCTTCTCCTTGTTTTCGTTTCTTTCACGCTGCCCAAGAATATCGCGGGTGTTCTCGCGCGAGGACTTCTCACGTTTCGTATCGCTCGAAAGAGAAACCGCGGCGATGCAACGATTTTCTTTCGACGTTTCGAAATTCAGTTAGGACGCTGGCCGGACGATTCGTTGCACGGTAAAGTTTCCCTAATCGACGCTCGGCTTGTGAACAAAAATTGGAAAATTAGGGGAGAGGAGATACGATCATTCGGGCGTTGCGGCGCGTTTTTTATATTCGCCGAATTGTCAACAATTGTAAAAACGAGCCGCAAGGCTTTCCTCAAATTGGTCATTTTTCTTTTACAAGCCGAGCGCGTCGATTAGGCTGAATTTACCGTGTACAGTAATGTCTCCCTAACTGACGCTCAGATTGCGCACAAAAATGGACAATTTGGGAAGAGGAGATACGATTAATGTTCGTCTCGTTTTTACAATTGTTAACAACTCGTAACTATAAATATAAACCGCGAGACTCGAATAATCGTATCTCGTCTCCCGAAATTGTCCATTTTTCTAGACAATCCGAGCGTCAATTAGAGAGACATTACTGTCCAGTAATGTCTCCCTTACTGACGCTCAGATTTGGGAAGAGGGGACACGATTAATATTCGAGCCTCGCGTCTCGTTTTTATAATTGTTAACAACTCGTAACTATAAAAATAAATCGCAAAGCTCGAACAATCGTATCTCGTCTCCCGAAATTGTCCATTTTTCTGGACAATCCGAGCGTCAATTAGAGAGACATTACTGTACACGGACCGAAGTACGTCGACGCTTTCGCTTTCGTTTCATTGATCCCGACACACCCTCTGACGCTTCCGACCGATCGATACAACGCGTGAACGACTTTGCGAGACTGCTTTCTCTTTCTTCCCGGCGCGGCGGCGTGAAAAGAACATTCATAATACCGTGTTGTATACCGCTGTATACCGTATTACCGAATTACCTTATTACCTTATTACCGCGTACCGTACACGTCGAGAACAACGTAATAAAATTACAGTACAACCAGAAGGTTTTTAACGACGCGGCTTCTTTTTATCGCGTATCGCGCGCATACCCTAAATTAGCGCGGCGCGGAGTCATCGGTTATTTTCGTATCAGGAAACACACCTACGTGCACGCTCGCGAGTAGCGTTTCCCGGCGAAAGTAATCGCTCGCGATTTGTAGAAACGCGCGAACTCCCGATAGAGCTGACGCGCATTTCCGCTTATCCGTTTCTCTTATCTCTTCGCTATTATTATCTTCCGCGATAGTGATTGCACGAGATAGGGTGAGCAAACTCTCGGTTCGCAAAACTCGGGCGGGAAAAGCGGGCGCGTTCGTCGCGCGTATTTCCATGAGAAAGAAAGCACCGGTAAAAAAAGAGAAAGATAGCCGACGAGGCCCGATCGAAAGAGTCGCGAGCGACGCACGCCGAACGATGCCCGCAGAAAATTTAGAAAAATAGACGGTGTATTCGAGGCTTAAACTGACCTTAATGAGGTAGATGGTTGCGCGGCCAGCGTCTGCGATTGACTGAAGTGCACGCTTGCGTTGCCGCCGCGGTACTATGGATGACGTCACTGGTGATATCATAAGCGATCGGCCGGCTCGAGGAAGATCCGTAGTCACGGATTGGATGATCAGCGATAGCGACAGAGTTACATATTTTTATTTATTTTTTTTTTTTCGAGGGAAACGAGAGGTCGAGTGGCCGCTCTTGGTGAGGAAGGACGCGGCGGACGAGAGATAATGTTAAAAATGATCGTGTATTTCAATGGTAATAACGTGTACACAGAAGGGAATACAACGTACTCGAATGCTTCGGTTTGCCCCGCATCGTGACGGATCTTGTTCTGTTTCACGTACGCATCGACGAACGCTGAATTAACGCGAGTGCCTCTCTGCGTACGAGCAAAAGAAACCAAGAAATGTATGTGAAGCAACGTAAAATACAGTAAGGTAAAGTAAAGTGAAGAAAAGTAAGGTAAAGCGAAGTAAAGTAAAATAAAGTGAAGTAAAGTAAAGTAAAGTGAAGTAAAGTGAAGTAAAGTAAAGCGAAGAAAAGTAAAGAAAAGTAAAGTAAAACAAAGTGAAGTAAAGTAAAGCGAAGTAAAGTAAAGAAAAGTAAAGTAAAGCGAAGTAAAGTAAAGAAAGGTAAAATAAGATAAAGTGAAGTAAAGTAAAGAAAAGTAAAGTAAGATAAAGTGAAGTAAAGTAAAGCGAAGTAAAGTAAAGAAAAGTAAAGTAAAATAAAGCGAAGTAAAGTAAAGAAAAGTGAAGTAAACAGAAGAAGAGAAAAGTAAAGTAAAGTGAAGTGAAGTAAAGTAAAGAGAAGAAGAGAAGAGAAAGATGTAAAGACAACAATGTACCGTATTCGATTCGTGCAAATATATTACCTATACAAAACAGATATATATATATTTGTAAATGTATGTATATGTATATGTATATGCATATGCATGTATGTATATAGATATAATTTGTGTATACATATATTATAAATAAAAACTCGCGACGGTGCGGCGAAAGGTACGCAATTAGAAAAGTTCAACCGAACGGGAGAGCGGCGGACGCGTCGCGCGCGTGCCAACGGCCGTGAGCGCGGGCTTATTCGCAACTTGACATTCGCGAACGGGGGGCAGCTGGGAAGATTCGCATCCAATATGGACGTTATCGATGTCGCGACGAGATTCTATCGAGACACAGTCGGCGCTAATATTCTCGCAAATTAAAGAACCGCTCCCACGGAGAATCACCGTTGAATCATGCGGCTCCGCAGAGATATCGCTCGCGAAGAAGCTCGTCGCCGACGATGACGCGGCCGAGCCGAGCCGACTCGAGGATATCCCTTGCGCGCGATCCGATAACCCGCCCTGGGCCGACGTAAAACTCTCTTTACAGTTTGTACGTAGAATTGTTGTATGTCGGCGCGTGTTTAACGATCGGTTTGTCGCCGCTCGCGGTCGTCGGGGAACGCGTTCTCGCGAATTCGGCCGCGAACCGAGCCGCGTTCGCCGATTCGGGATCGCGAGACGTTCGAGCCGGACAATGGACAAGGGCGATCGTCGACGTAGTACATATATACGCGCAGCCGATTCGTCGATACGTATATCGCGTATCGCATGTCGCATATCGCAAATCGTGTGTATGTATAATCTTAAGGCACATAGATTACAGAGTCTCTGGTTGAGCTACGACACTCGATAGGAAAAGGATCTATCTTCCCGTTGGACTAGCTTCGAACCGTCGATATCGACGTCGTCGCCGACATCGGCGTCGACATCGACGGAGTCTAATGTGATCATCCTCCCATTCGTTTCTCGAACAGCGTGTCCTCGCTTCGGTGTTGTTGATCGTTTATGGTGCGTAGGGCCGGAGACAGATCCTCCGTGTAGTAGCCTGGCCGTAGGTGCTCTTCAGGTACCTTGATGCCTCTTCGAGTACCCTGGTCGCTCTTCTTCACTGCGTGTTACTGCTCTTCCACTCGACGTACAGGAAGTACGCTCCGGCGGCGTAGGCGATCGTATTGAAGATTCCGAATATCTGTGGCGCAAACATCGAAGACACGTTAGGGATCTCGATCGGAGAAGCCGCCGATCCAACAAGGATCCGGACTTCGCTGTTCCTACGGTACTTACACCGCCGGCGATGTTCGATGATACGGTATAACTTCCGACATACGCGCTCCAAGCGGACAGCTGAGCAATGAAGGCGATCATGTACAAGAAGGTGAATATCGACGTGTTTAGAAGTTCCTGCAAGCAAACAGTTGTTTTATTTATTCGTTCGTTCATTTATTTATTTATTTATTTATTTATCGAATATGTACGGGATCTTATGAATTCTGTTTGAGAAAGTGTGGTGGAGGATTGAAAAAATTATTAGAAGAACGCACACTATTAATAACATAAAATATTAATATAATATGATATATTATGTATAACATATATTATATATATATTATATATTATACATAATAATATATAATATATATGTATGTATATACAGGGTGTCTCAGTAACTCTGTTAGAAAGCGATATCTCCATTATCGTTAATGATACGCGGAAATGCTTGTAGAACAAATTATTTGGTTCGAAGGGACACATGTTGTGGTGAAAATCATTCTTTTGTAAAGGTCACATTTTTTGAAATTTCAAAAATATTTTTTGTTTTCTCAAACAAGATTACATGTTTCTATCATTATATGATGATAGCTAAGATCAAGACGAATCTAATAACCTATAATACCATGACCTTCATGTGACCTTGGGTACGAAAAATAAAGAAGTTTTTAAAATATATTAATATTAATAACGTAAAAGCTATCAAACGAGTTTGGCTATGAAACGATTAGAAGAATGAAATAGAAAAAGGATGATGATAAGAATAAGAACGTTAGAAATACATTCATACACTATACGATGAAATAAAATATCGAACAAAAATAACGGTAATGGAGGAGACAAGGAATCATATGGGTCCACGTGGGAGACCGTTTTACTTGCCGACAGAATCCAATTAATCGGTAGCTTGAGCGCCTCTCGGATCGACAAGAAGTAAATGAAACACCACACCAGGGTGGAAATGAAGGCTGTAACCGCGACGAACAGAAACCAGTGGGTGGTGGGAATTCGTGCCGGTGATGCGCACGCCATGCATATTATCCCCAAGCCCTGAAACAATCAGAAATTTTCCAATTATATACTCGCTCGCAAATTACTTATTTATTCATTTAATGTATATAGGAAGTTATCCATTACTTGTAAAATTGCGGAACAAAAGATATAAAAAGAAAGGAAAGATTACAAAAGTAAAAAATACAGAGATTAGATATAATTCCTTATATTAATACGATAAATCTCTGCGGACTGTAATAACTAGACTGCAGGTTTTATGCATTCACAGCAAAAAAAGAAAAAATAAATAGGTAAAACGTAAAATATCGAAAAGATCGAGAGCAACCGAGGATCTAGATCTCTCAATTCCGATGAAAATAATTTAAGAAAGAAGAATTGCTGCACTTGGCTCTGTGATGTCTTGAAATCGACTCGGACAACATTTATATTGCATAAAGATCCACGGTCTAGTAATAACGATCGCGACATCGAGCGACAATTCTACCCTGTCCGATGATTCACAGCGGCGCTCGCGAACATTCCGCCAATGTTCGCGAAGCTTTCTCCCGTATCGCCATAAATTCCTTCGCGAACTCGTCGACGGACTTCGCCAACCGAATCGTGGTCTCGCCGGTCTCCGATGTATCGTTCATCGATCGAAATTGTCCCGAGAATTCCGCGGCCAACGCGTTCGAGAGGTACGTTTCCGCGAGCTCGCCCCGGTCCCGGGCTCTCCTCAGTTTCGCGTCCCTCTCCGCGTTCGCGAGAACGAGAGGGAGCCGTTTCCTTTCCAAATCGGCCGGATCCAGATTCTTCTTCCCCAACAGAACAGCCTTCGTCCGGCGGAACTCCTTCGTTCTCCACACAGCGTCCGCGGATTTCGGAGCCGCGCGGGCACGCTTCTCCGCTCGCGATCTCGCCCGTTCCTCGTCCTCCTTCCGCAGCCTCGTCCTGGCCTCCTCCAGCTCCTTTCTCCGTTCCTCCTCGCACCTGGCCGACCGCCTCGCCACAACGTCCGGATCGTTCGCGAGGAAATCGTCCTGCCAGCCGTCGAAAAGCTTCTTCCTCCGCGCCTCCCTCCGCGCGTATTCCTCGAACCGCTCCATCCTTTCCAAGGTATCGCCCCGACCGACCACGACGTCCCGTTCCCCAAACTCCCGGAAAAATCCGGCCGCGTCGCCCACGCCGATCGTGTCGACGCGTTCGCCGTTAACGAAGCGATTCATCGCGACCAGCCGAGCGATCGGCGCCGCGGACACGATCCGCGCGAAGATCGGCTCGCTCGGCCGGTCCCCGATGTCCCAGAGCTCGAGTTCGCCCCGTCGATCGCCGAGCAGAAAAACGCCGGGTCCGCTGGCCCAGCAGCCGGCCGTGTACCGGCGACCGGTCCGCCGCCAAAACAAGGGGGACCTCGGGTAGTCGTCCTTCCAAATCGCGAAGACGTGGCCGCCGATCGTCAGAAGAACGTCCCGGTGCCGCGGGGACCGCAGAATGTCCGTAACGGGACCGTCGTGTACGTACGAGCTGCTCAAAAGCTCGCACTGCGCTATGCTCGAGGTTTCGCCGGCGGCGACCATCTGTTCGTCCCAGCCGCATCGGACCAATCCATCCGCACAGCCGAGCCACAAGCATCTCCTGCGACCGTTCTCCTCCGCGTTCAGCCGCGAATACGGCTCCGCCGGATTTTCGTCGCGTTCACCGGCATCTCCGACAGGCAAACTCGACAGGCAAATCGACAGCAAGCCGAAGCTCCGCGGTTTCTCGGCGGAGACGCCGACCGCGAGGCGAAAGGTCGGCCGGAAATCGATGGAATCGCCGTCGTCGGACGCGCGAGAACCGCTCCGGACAGAAGGAAGATTCCAGACGGACACCGTGCCGTCCTCCGAGGCGGTTAGGAATTGTTTGTCCGTGGTTTCGGCCGGTCCTATTCTGCATTCGACCGGCAGCCACTCGATCCGCCGGACGGCGAGGCGGTGCGAGAAACGTTCGTCGGAGAGCAACGAGGCGCGAACCACCGGCGGCTTCTCGCGGCTCGGTCCGGTGAAATCGATCTTCCGGTCGCCGTGCGATCGATCCTCGATGTTCCAGACGATCACCAAACCGGTCGAGCATCCCCCTATCACGACGCGGTCGTCGTGCGGGCAGAACGAGACCGAGGAAATCTCTCGGCGATGCTCGAGCTCCAGACTGTGAACCAGCGGATCGTCGAACCTCCAAACGAGCACGCTGGACCTTTTCGGCCTGAACGAACGGGGCCCGGTGGGCCCGGCGACGTAGGAGATGGCCACGCAGTCCGTGGTTCGCGGGTGCAAAGAAATGTCGGAAACGGCTCTGTTCTCCGCGAGGTTCGGATCGACGAACGACACCAGCTCGCGAAACATCGGCGCCGCCTCTGCGACGACGGCCTCAACGTCGCCGCCATGTTTCCCTCGCCGCGACAAATTCTCTATGTCGTCCACGTGCAGGTTAACAGCCGCGTTGTACTTCACGACGTCGATCATCTCGGCCGAGCGTGCCTCCAGAAATAAATCCAGCGGCGTCTTTTCCCGGAGCTCGTCGTCACTCGCCGTGCTGCGGCCATCGCTTCTGCCGCGGGACCGCTCGTCGTCGTTCCGTTCCGATTCTGTCCTCGACTCGACGCCCTCCTCAGGGTCCTCGTCCGGGTTCGGCTCACCGATCAGCCCGTCCTCGTACGCGTACTGCGTCCACGCGTTCTTCAGATACCCGCGATACGTTTGAACGTAACCCTCCCGCGGCCGCGAGTGCGTCTGCACGGACCGAGAAATCAGCTTCCTCTCGACGTTCTCGAAGTCCTCGCGCTCGCTCAAGAGCTGCAAATAGCTGTCCCGGCGATCCTCCGAGCCTCGGTCGCATAATTTCCGAGCGGCGCCCACAGCCGTTCCAGGCAGCACGATCTCGATCTCGAACGGCTGCCTTTCGCCGGCGACGCGGGCCTCGTCCACTTCCGATTCGCTGCCCAACGATCTCCACGCCGTCCCGGGCTTCTTCCTCGTTTTGCCGATCGCTCTGTCACGGATCGCTCTCGCGACCTTCCCGTTCCGTTCGGCGACCACGCGTCTCGCCTGCACCGTCAGACAGATCGCGAACTCGTCGGACAGCAGCCGCGTCGAGGCGTAGCCGACGAGGAACGCGTCGTCGGCTTCGTAGGCCGCGATCCTGTCTCTGAACGGTGCCAACGAGGAGGTCGGCTCTTTGGCGACACGCGCGACCGCCGCTCTGTCCACGTACGCCCACGGGTATTCCAGGAACACGTGTTCTCCGACCACGCAACCCAGTTCCCGTTGCGTCCCGGCGTCGAGCCTCACGCGTTCCACATCCTCGATATTTTCGGCGTGCAGCGTCCACCCCAGCGGGCACTTAACCCCCTTTCGCGACATCTTCTCACGACGATGTACGTCGCCGCGGCGTCGTCGTCGTCGTACGCGTCGTACGCGACGGCATCGATCAAACTTTGCCGCGACGCGCGGCGCGCATCGTTCGCGCCGCGGAAATTTCGAGCGGCCGCGGCTCGAGAGTCCAGCAAGGCGGAGATTCGAACGCGCCGGAAGTCGCGACGCGCTCGATTAACCCTATCCGGTAAATAAAATCTCGATCTCGATTTTTCTTTAGTTTCGGACGTTGCGCGCGCGCGCGCCCGTCTATGCAGTTACGCATGCATGCATGCATGACATGCGAGCGGGTATCGCGCGCATTATATGCTGTATGCGCGTTATGCGTTATATACATTATACATTATACATTATACATTGTACGTGGAGTATAGGAGAGATAGGAACGCGCGCGGAGGGGTGAATCGGCGCGAAAGTGCGAAGGATCGGAACGCCGCGCCGGGACCGTGCGCCGAAGGAAGAATTCTACTTTCACCGATCGAAAACGTCGTCGACCGGAGCATTTTAGCGTTTAACTAAGAATTCACCGTGCTCGATAACTTTCTCGCGGTATCGCGCGAGTTATTAATACTCGCGGCGACGGCGGGGACCGCTGCCAGAGCGACCAGATTCGTATGGACAGCAACGTTAATCGCCCGGTGTTACCTTACCGATGCAACTTTGTTTTCGCTCCACGTTTTCCGATGTTTTCTCGGCTTCGAAATAGCACGTCGACCGACCTTTCGAGCACAACTGGCCGCGAGCGTCGCCATCTCGTTAACGGTACACGCCACACGCCCGACAAATGGAAAGCCCGATAAGAGCGGGGTACAGCAATTTCTCCCGGAAATGCCAAATTTCGGGTTGCTGTGAATTTCTCTTTGATGGTTCCGCGGCTGTGTAATTTATTGGTGCGTCGGTGCTAAGAGTCGTCGGAGTCGAGTAAGAAAAATCGCGGAGCGGTACGTGTCATGTGGCCTCCGAATTGCTTCTGAATAGTGGCACGTGGCCTTCGAATTGCTTTCGAATTCTGTCACGTGGCCTCTCAATTGCCTACAGTCGTGTCATATGGCTTCCGAATTGCCTTCGAATGATGCCATGTAGCCTCCGAATTGCCTTTGAATAGTGGCATGTGGTCTCCGAATTGTCTTCGAATTCTGTTACGTGGCCTCTGAATTGTCTTCGAATCGTGTCACGTGGCCTCCGAATTGCTTCTGAATAGTGTCACATGGCGTCCGAATTGCCTTCAAATCGTGTCACATGGCCTCTGAATTGCCTTCAATCGTATCATATGGCCTCCGAATTGCTTCGAATGATGGCGTCTAGCCTACAAATTGCCTTTGAATAGTGGCATGTTGCCTTCGAAATGTCTTCGAATCCAGTCACATGGCCTCTGAATTGCCTTCGAATCGTAGCATGTAGCCTCCGAATTAATTGCCTTCGAATCGTGTCACGTGGCCTCCGAATAGCCTTCGAATTATCGCAAAAAAATTGGAAATAAGAAAGTTAAGTCATCGTTTTCATTCTAGCATTACTTATTCATACTAATGTATACCAGCATGCTGGCCACTGCCTTTTTTGCCCCGAGTTTCTACAAAAACAAGCCGCGAGGCCCGAAGAACCGCGACATAGTACTCTCAGATCCGCCGGTTTCAATTCAGACTTCGGAACGTTTCTGGGCGAAATCGCTGTGTCTTTCTTTCCGTGCAGCGATACCGGGGCTCCCGTCGCTCGTTGCAGTAACACGTGGAACGAGGAATCGCGAGGAATCGCGAAATAACTTTGCGAAAGATAAATACAGGCTTCGGACCGTGCAGACCGGTGTTCTACATTCTACATTATTCATGGGGGGGAACGGTACGCGGTCTCTCGTGTGTGCCGGGTGTTGTGTCAGCTCGGCGCGCGACTTCCACCGCATGATATTACATAAAATACGTGTACGTGTACGTAAAACACTCGGCCCGGTAACCGTGTGTCGACTTGTCCGAATGGCTCGGATCTTTTTCAGACCTCGGTCCGACCAGTTCGCCAGAGAACGAGTAAACAAAAATTTGTTTGGATCGCGATCGGTTCGGATGATAAAAGAATTAAAACACGATGCTTTTTTCGACCTTTTCCATCTGTAACGAAAGTTTAACGAATGCGTTTCGTAGATCCGGGTAATTTCTATTGGATTCGTGCACGATTGTAAGAATGAAAATAATAAAAAACTATATCTAAAATATATATAAAATAATTATATATATAATGTATAATAAATATTTATTTTATTGTAATAATTATATATATATAAATAATATTAAAAAACTATATATAAAATAAATATCTTTTAATAACTTTGATAACTTGAGAATAACGGGACGATATTATTAAAATCTTCTTGTCTTCGTTAATTTATCATTCGACTACTTATTTTTGCTATACAAAAATGAAATCTACGGTCTAGTTGTGATCTACGAAACGATTAAAGGCAGCGAGAATCGCGGTTTTCCACGACTTTCGATGAACAGCTGTGAGAAATCTCGAGATTGTGACGTCTTTCGAAACGCATTCCTTAAATTCTCGTCCTAGATAGAAAGGTCGAAAGTATCGTTTCTGAATTTTTCTCGCCATTCCGTCCAATTGGAAGCTGAACAATTCTTGTTCGCTATTTTTCCCTGGCAAACCAGTCGGTCCAGCTTCTCAACAAAATTCGAGTCACCCGAAGCAATTCGAAAGAAATTGTACCGTTCGGAATGCTATCAGCACAGTTTTCGCGGCGCGTGTGTGTATGCGTAATACGGCGTTAATGCACGCGTCGCATCAACGATCGTAACACGATCGTAGTAACGATGCCGGTCGAGAACGTCCTAATCCCATTCACCTCGACCGGTAAACATGGAACCGATGAGCGGCCAACGGAAACGCAACAGATCGTATCGGTAGAATTCTAACGAAACGTTTATTCGGTTTCACGATCGCTTCGAATGCCAACGATATCGTCGCGACGACATCGGTGTGCCGTTGATCGGTTGAATTCTGAAGGAAGAAAATCGCAAATTAACGCGGATCGCGTCCGAAACGCAAGACACTGTAGGGATCCTGCGTAGGGATCGTTTTAGTCGACGCAGGAGAACCGTCATTGACGCTCTGACGGCGCGGCTTGGTTCCATACCGGACCCAGAATACAAATATGTATTGTCATATTGATTATCTGCTTTCCGACAATTCATTAAAATTGTCGACGATTCTATTAAGATCTATGGAGTGCCCCAAAAATGTCTCGCATTATGGAAATGTGGGGCAGCTGAGGTCATTCTAAATAACATTTTCCTTTGCGAAAATGCAATCTGCGGCTTCGTTCACGAGTTATTAACGAAAACCACCGACCGATGAGACCAATAACTCGTAAGCAAAGCCGCGGATTGCATTTTCGCAGAGAAAAAGGTACTTAGAATGGTCTCAGCTACCCCGCGTTTCCGTAATGCGAGACTTTTTTGGGACACCCTGTGTATAAAATCTCGCAGGAGTCTAGAAGAGGTACATTGAAAAATATGTTGAGAAAGTTGCTAAATGAAACGGCGAACGATCCTAAGCATATCGACGCTCTCAACAGACGGTTTGTTTTCTCTCTGTCTTTCTCGGTTTCCGGGCATTTCTTAGCAGGATCAAATAAACACGCGCGCGTGGTTCCTAAGCGCCGCGGCTTCATGGAATCGACGCATATTTTAGAGATCAAATTTTGCATAGTTTACAATTTTACTCGCACGTGAAATACTTCTTACGGGTGAAAGCGAGGAAACTGAAGCAGCGTGATCAACATCCGAGCGAACACGTAGATCCGCGCGGACCCGTTCCAGAAAGACCGAATAGAAAAGCGTGAATCCGCGTGACCCGTTCGTCGAGAGCGTCGAGGTTAAATTTTTGCGAGAGATGCCCGTCGTTCGAGGATTAACCCTTTCGGTACGAGCGCCGGATATATCCGGCATCCATCCGATGACCAATATGGACGAGCGCCGAGTACATCTGGCATCCATGTAAGCCATATTTCTGTAGGCCCTTTACAGAATGTTTACAGGAAACATTTCAAGAAAGATTTAGGAACGGATTAAGCACAGTCATTACTTAACGCTTAAGAAAATCTTCGTACAAAAGTGGACTGACCCTGCGTTATGTGCGCATTTTCGGCGCGGCACGTTCGTACGCGCTCGTACCGAAAGGGTTAATGGGAAAGCCGAGCGAAACAGATTCCCAGCTCGCGTGCGCGTAGGGTCTGCACGAGTTAAACTGGTCCGGATTATTGAACAATTGCGGGAGAGGGAGGAGTAGAGGCGAACGCGTGTCGCGGAAACGACAAGGTGACCCTAATTTTGCGAACGATCGTCCCGCGTACCGATATCTCTCTCGGTGTCGTCGGTCGCCGAGTTTTTGCGTCGGACGCGCCGCGGATTCCTCCGGCGAGTGCGGAGGAATGCTGGCGAACGCTCTTGGATGCTACAATATCTTGGAATTCCGTAGACGTTCGCGAAGATCCGTAACGCGAGCCGAAACGGGGACCTCGAATCGTAGATCGCGCGATCCCCGTATCCGGACGATAAAAACCGCTTAGACGTGCGCTAAAGCGTGCCGAAGATCGTGCGGACGCTCGGAGCAGCACCGTGGAACGTGACACGAGGAGAAAACCTTACGACTTACGGCAGCCCACATCGCGCCGTTTATGCGCGCGGTTACTAAGCAGCTACCGGTTACGACCTACGCCGATAACTCGCGCAGTTAAGCCCGTTCTCGCGACCATCGTTTCTCATTCAATTGATTAGGATTAACGCGTTAAGCGCGGACCCGATTTCGCTTGCTTTTCCGTCGCGACACGGATTATGTTTTAACCTCGATACTGCCGGTCCCATGCGCCGATGCCGTCGGATAGGTTCGTTGTCAGTCCCCGACGCCGCCCCAAAAAATTGTACACTATCAATCCAAGGTCGTGTCAAATGTTATTTTCCAAACGGAAAGTCCACTGTCAGACCCAGAGGGCTGACGTCGCGCTCGACGCGTGTTAACGAACTACGGTAAATTCTCCCTAATTCGCGCTCAGATTGCGCACAAGAAAGTGGACAATTTGGGAAGAGGAACGGCCGCTGGTATAGCATGTGTATCATGCGCGGTGTATTCAGGAAAAGTCGCTACGCAAGGAGTGGGGGCAAGCGACGCACGCGCGAGAGTCCCGCGCAGCTGCGTGGCGCGTCTACGGGGTGGCACGTTGACTCTCCATGAAGGATTCTCATAGAACCGCGCGGCCTGTGCCGCTAAGTGCTAATATAATATAATTAATTATTAATAATAATATAATTATTAATATATATTAATAATCGTATCTTCTCCTCCCAAATCGTCCATTTTGGTGCGCGATATGAGCGCGAATTAGGGAGAATTTACTCCGTAACCCCGATGCACGGTGTCCGAACGCGTTTCTTCTTCTAAAGACCGCGCGTCCGAGAGTCACCACGCACCAACGGTTCAGCGTCGACGAGATCTTCGGACTCTTGGAGTTTCTAAACGCGGGATTGTTTAAGAAACTGGACGGCGGCGATACGGAATACAATTATGTCGAGCGCAAGGTGACGTAAGCTCCGTCTTGAAACAGCGATGACTCTCTCGCTCGCGTCAGACTTTATCTCAACATTCCAAAAATAAAATTACGTATAATCGATCCGTCCTGTCGCTTAATCTATGGACTTGAGAACTACATACTTGGACGAAGAACGGCGAAAGTACGGTCGCAGCGTTTATCGGTTGATAAGAGAACGGCGACAACGAGAACGCCGGGAACTATAGATCACCGGGAAAGGCGATCGGAATATAGTAAATTCTCTGCAATGGTCGCTCAGCTTGTATAATATACAAGAATGGACAATTCGGGAAGAGGAGACACGATTATTCGAGCGGCTAGTTTTTTTCGTTGTTGACAATCGGCGACTACAAAAACGAGACGCAGCAGATTCTCGTGAACGATCCAGCGTTCTTGGTTTTTCTCTTCATGCCTCGATCTCCGTCATGGTCCGTGAAATGCCTAACGTTTTAGGAATCCTAATTAGCAATATAATTATGGCGATCTATAGTATGATCTAGACACGCTCGCCAGCTTGAATATTTTGAAAAA